CTGACCTGCACAACATTCATAGGGGACAATGAAAGGAAACGGTGGGATGCTTCTCTCTTTCTCCCCTCCCCACCACAGTGCTCTTTCATCTCTCCTTCCCACAAGGCTGATTCACCACTTGTGACCCCTGCGGCTGCCTTGTTGAAAATAGACAACAAAGTGTCTGAGATGAAAACCGGTGGCCAGTTGCAGGCTAGATTGCCGCCCGGCTTCAAGATGTTTCGGGCAGTGGCGAGCGCTCTTGCTGCGCTGACACTTCCATTTGTCTGGATTTTGGTCACACTGCAGCCTGTCAGACTTTTTTTTTATGGAAGATTTAAAATGCCTTTAAAAAAAAAAACAAAAAAAACAAAAAAAGAGAATATACATTGTTTAAATATTTCTTTTCTCCGAGTTATTATTTTGCGTGTAAATACAGCCGAAATCACAGCACAGCCGTCGCAGTTATAAAATCAGGATTTTAGCAGCAGTCTGGTGCAGTCACTATTTCAAACTTGTTCCATTGTCTTGACAACGGAAACAGCAAAACAGATCAATGAGAACAGCTTCATTGGGAATTCGTCTGGATTAAAATACTTAGTATGTGAGCACAGAGAGGAGGAGAGAACTGGATAACGAGCTGAAACCAGCTGACACTAGGCTGAATACAAATATGATGCAATGACGTCGGTTGTTTTCAACTAGGTCCTCAATTTTGCACATTGACTGAACGTGGTCGAGCAATATACTGGGTTTTGGTCTTGTGGAAGAAAAAGACAAGAGTTTTCTAACTATGAAACAGTAAATACATGTATAAGGAGGAAATGCATCTATCAACGTTTATTGTATTTCACCTTATTTCTTTGATTTGTCTTAATTTAGACATTTTAAATATTCTGTATTTTTCCCTGACAGAAACACTCAAGTACTGTATAGAAAGTTGTTGTTACTGGGATGGGATGTGTCGCTGTGGCAACCTTTCACTCAGCACCTCTCCTTTTGAAGTTGCATCTTCTTAAACTGTTTTGAAAAATCACTGTGTTTGAATGCATCTCTCCTTGAATTATAAATCACATGTGCACACAGACAGAAAAGTCACCTGTGTAAAGGTCTCTTTTCACCTCTCTATCATCCGATTCTTAAAGAAACTTATCGGAGAGCAGGAATACTGTAAGAATAACTGTACACAGCGTTTCAGGATGCAGAGTGGTCTGAATCCATCTAGTCCTCTGCAGGCGTAGATAAGAACCTCCTTCATGAATAAAGATGTTTAGGCATCCTCTCCTCTCCGTGTTCAATGTGTACTTGTTACAGCGGCCATTATTTATAGCCCCACTAAGGCCCGGAGTGGTGAGAGTGGGTCTCATGGGGAATTGGGAAGTGGAGCCACTGCTACCTATAGTGGGAAAGATATACCACCTCACCCCCGCTGAGAACTTCGCGCAGGAAATGAACTCATAAATCAAGCAGTAAATTGAGTGTAGGGCTGTGCTTACTCATCTCAAGAGGTCCGCTCCTCTTCCTCCACACACCCCTGCTCCTTTTTACTGCATGACTAATCCAACGCCGCAACTGCTCTGTCCGCATGAGTGTCTTTTCCTCTGCTAAACTCTTCACAAGTGTGGATTTCATTTTCAAGTAAGCTTCATAACTTGGGCCTGGAGGCTACAGAGAGCGTAGGAACATCTAGGAAAGGGGACAAACGCATCAGCATCTTGTCCCGCCACTGAACTTCAACGCCTCATTGTGATGCGGCTGGTGAGAGCTGTCTGTCTTTTCCCGGACACAGCCTGTGAAGAGTCTCCCCTGCTCGCCTCAGGCTATCCCGACAGTCACAGGCCCTGTCCGGAGGAATTAAAATCTCTATTTATCAGAACTCGACTGAAGCTGTCTGGGGACTGGCTGGGGAAATGGCACACAGGCGGCCTCTTCCTGCCGTGGGACTCTGATGGAGAGTTCAACATGAAGGGATGTGTCCGCGCTGGGTGTTTCTTGACAGCATGTGAAAAAAGAAAAAAACACTCTTATCCTGGCTTCAAGCTTTGTTTCATTTTGTTTTAATCATTCAATCACTCTTTAAAAGAAACACCCGAAGAACATATTAAGACTGATCCTTGAATACGAGCAGTGAACGTGCATGTATAAGTATGTGCATATGTGCGGAGCCTGCCTGCTGAGCTTTGCTCCTTATTAAAGCAGGAACTGTGTCGCCTCCTGCAGCCGCTCTCCATCACAGCAGCAGTAGGCAGCATCTCCTCTGACAGAGGGAAGACTCGCCATCACTCCTCCACAGTGAGGCCACAGGACCGGCAGGGCTGAGATCAGATCTGTACTGACCTCTGCTGGTGAAGTAATGCACATGTCAGGGCGACCGGCACAGTTATGGAAATCTACCGCACCACGACATGTGGCTGCAGCACAGATGTTACGTTCAGCTGCTCCATTCGTGTATCTCTTGTCAGCTGATTTTCTTGACTTTAGACTTGAGTCTTGCCAGATTCCTGCAAGAACAACTATAACTTCTAAACCTGGATCCATCTACCCTGCTGTTTTCTGCACGCTACCAGAGCTGTAAGTCTTGATTCCAACTCCACTTTAATGCTTTTAAATATAATTTCAGTCCATTTGTCAGTGGAGGAGAATAACTAAATACATTTACTCCAATATTGTACTGAAGGACAATTACTTTTTATTCCACTACGTGTATCTGACAGAAGTGGTTACTTTTCAGATTTTATATATTTTTTTAAAAGCGTATCATGAGCTTATGAAATACAACCCAACCTATGTATAGTTGCAGCGGTTTCCCACCTTTTTGGCTTGTGATTGCTTATTAATAAAAGCGGTGTCTAGTTGGGGGGTGCTGTTAGCAGTGTCACCAAAGAGTGATTTCCTTCTGAACTTCTCAGATGGTTTCGCTTAAGTAACTGCTTGAGGTTCAAAGAGGAAAAATTCATCCAATATTTCACAAAAAATATAGATTTGAGGGGGAAAAAAAGAATATGAATATCTTATCTTATTTATCTTATGACTCTTTGGAGGGGCCTGACCCTATGTTGGGAACTAAACTAAACCACTAAACTGTATATAAAGTAAACTTGCATAATAACATACCACTTTTAAGAGCTGCGTGACAAGCAGGCAACACAACTGGTTTTCTTAAGTATAGGATCTGAATACTGCCTTTTTTAAAGCAGTGTGTCATCACCACAGGGGTCAGGTGGGGGTTAATTTAGGGCAATTTGAGAGCAAAATCAAACCAACCCATACTTGATAAGAAAATAACGACTGATTTTACAAATAGGAAAAAGTCACCTTCACCAGCAGGTTACTGAGTCTGATGCTAACTCGACCACAGGGTGGAGCCCATGTTGCAGCACATCGACTGTATTATGTCGAAAAGTTTTGGAGGTTTTGGAAATCCACTTGCATCCCTGAAGCTGCATTGATGGTTGTTTCAGTATTTCAAGCTGTTTATCATCTTCAAAAATTTTAATCATGTTTTATTCTATTGCTTTCAGATGGAGCAGGGACCGCCCACAACCCCCGACTCCCTCATCCCTGTTTTCAGACTCCCCATTTTAAAGCTCAGCGGACTGCTGCTCCCTTCCCCCCTTCTCACTCCGAGCTGCGTCCATTCACCAGAATAACACCGGAAATTAAGAGATTGCCCCTTTCAGAATAATAGATAGCTGGCGTTGCTTCTCAAGCATATGAGCGGTTTAGCATTTGAGACCACTCTTATTTCAAATATGACGAAGTAATTCGATTGAACTGTAGATAAAAAAGCAGCTTAAAAGGGAGGGAAATAGATGAGGCATATATTATTTATAAAATGACAAATGACATTTGAATGATGTAAGGATATGGAAAACCACTGCAACTGTATAGTAGCCTATTTTAAAATGTCTATGTCAGACAACAGTTACACGGCTATGAAATAAGATGTGAAAAGGATATTTCTTTATGAATATCCATGTATTTACAGTCTGTATTTATATTGTAATACCTGTGTGGAAGTCTCATTTTCAGCTGTAGATCTTAATGGTGTTAAAATGGCTTTTCCTTAAAAGATATTAAGTTTATACTGTCACAGAGGCTGTTATTCCATTCAAACTAATTAGTCATGAATGTTTTACTTTGAAGGTATGAACCGGAAGTTTAGTGTTTTTTGTTGTTAGCTTAATGGCGGTTCTCCCTTTTTTTTTTTTTCTTTGAGCAGGGATTCAGGAATGTGGAGACAAGCAGCTAAGTTACCCTCAAATCGCCCGGGGTGCCGTCGTCAGGAAACTATAAATTAATAACACAAACACCACGGTGAGTTGCTGTAATGGAGTAGTGTAGTGTAAAAGTAAACATTTAATTGTCACAATTGTTGGTGGTGTACAATAATGTTGTACGTTGTTTTTAAAGTTTTGCCCAACACGTTGACTAAAAAAGAAAAATGTCCGTTAGCTAACGTAGCCAGGCGAAAGACGTGAGCCGTTAAAAGCGCGTGAGCTGAGACTTCACGAATAGCTGCATGTTTTATGAAATGTTTTGTCCTTAAAAGTAGAGTTAAGTCCTAGATAGAGATCTGAACCGTTTCTCAGACAAGTTCAAACATGTGTGGCCATTGTTTGGGTTGAGGTCAAAGCAAGGGGATAAAAAAAAAGAAGCTTGCCCCAGCATGAAATGATTGTTTCGGAAACGTGATGCCAGCCGTTGAGCGGTTTGTCCTGTTAGCAAGGAAACCATTTTATTCGTGCTCAATTTGCAGATACGCTATTATTCAGTTTCACACACAGCTGATGTAGAGAGAGGGGAGATATTTTTTGTTCATAAAAGCTTTCAAATGCATCGCTGTCATTCCCATAAGACACGGCTCACCTTCCACACACTGTAGGGAAACATGGAGCTGATTGCTCTCGGTGTTTTGATAACATTTCTCTCCCTAGGGACGCTCGTCTGTGTCTCCATGGTAACGTGGCGGACGCCCAGCCTCGGCGTTGTCGCGTTGAGTTGCCTGCAAGGGGGCGGAACCGGAGAGAAACGACGGGTCTTCGATTTCCCCTCTCCCCGTGAAGGCAGAATCAGTCGAAGATGGTAAGGAGAGCACGGCTGCATCAGGTCAGCATCTGCATTATAGGTAGATTGAATCAGCAGTGGTGGAATCTGTGCTCTGCTGTTTTACCTCGCTGCAGCAAATGATGCCTTTTTTCTTTCACTCTCTCTTCCTGTGATTGTGTGTGGATGCTAGTGTGAATTGTTCAGCCTTGCATTGTGTATCTCTTTTAAATCAGGGTTTATAATCTCTCTTTTGTCCTTGATACAGCCATTTCACGCCGGAGTCTACTACCCCTACACAAGTGACACCCAAGGGACCCACTCATCAGCAGGGATCCCGTCCCTGTTGAATTCCCCGCTCAGCCAGCACTCTGTAAACGGCCACTCTGTACCCGCACCAGGCATGACTCCATCCAGCGGAGCCTCCACTGTTCTCCCCTTCAAGTTCCGCCCGCGCAGGGAAAGCGTGGACTGGCGGCGGATTAACGCCGTGGACATAGACCTGGTGGTGAGCCAGCTGGACGTGGACACCCTTCAGGAGCACATCGGCACAGTGACATTCTGCAGCTTGGATGGGGAGCGATGCCAGCGGTGCCAGAGCCCCGTGGACCCGGCTCTGGTCAAGCTCTTACGGCTGGCCCAGCTCACAGTGGAGTGGCTGCTGCACTGCCAGGAATTCCTCACCCACAACCTGCGAGCGGCGGAGGAGAGGCTGGCGGCTGCCGGCAGTGAGCGCGAGCAGCTGCTGGCTCAGCAGAACAAGCAGGAGGAGAAGGTGAAGACGCTGACCACAGAGCTCAAGCAGAGGAAGAAGGTTATTCGCACCCAACAGTCCTTGCTGGCGCCTCGACTCATCAGCAGCCAGAAGGTACTGCTGACACGCTAAACGCTCACTCTCTGGGGGGGTATTGGTCACCATTTGCATTTCACACATGTATGGCAAGCAGACAGCTAGCTCCATCACCCCCACCCCCTTCACTCCTCCTCCTCCGAGCCTCAGCTCTGTCATTGTTCCCAAGATCTATTCACAGCTCCCGCTTTGTGCATTTCAGACCAGTGTTTGGAGAGAAAAAAAGGGAAATAGAAGAAGGAGAAACGAGTACTATGTTCTACGAAACCTGCCATGGCTGAGTTGTCATGGTATGGTTATAATAAGCTTTGTTTCCAGACTGGAAGAATAGGATTTAGAGCTGGAGAGCAGATGGTGTCATCTGGTGGCAATTAGTTTTGTTAATCCATTAACAAAAGGGTGACAAGAGCAGTAATCAACATGACTGGCTGACTCCCACCTTCATATAAACATGTCCTTGTACAGCATTTTGTCCTTTGACTGTGGTGTCGAATATTGTATATATTAGGTACTGTGACTTTATCTGATGTCTTTGTTGGGCAGCGTAGTTCTGTTGCCTTCAGGTTATTTATAGCACAAATCAAAAATCTCCCTCTGTTCTTTGAGTGTACGGCTGCCGCTGACCTGGGCAAGCTGTTGCCAGGGCAACGGATATAGTGTGTCATGACAGCATGTGGTTGCTAGGTGTGCGCTACCAGCTCAGCTAACAGAGGTGGCTCAATAATTGATAGAGAGGCCATGTGTTTGTGTATCCCTCGCAGACTTTTGGCATTTGTTGTTTGTCACAGCAAATGTCCACAAGTACTACAGAGAAACACACAGGCAGCGCTCTCTTTGAAGACTAATTTAATTTCCACAGTTATTCCAAACCAGTAACAGTGTAACTGCATCATAAAGACCTGCTCAGCAGAGCCTCACGTCTCAGTGTCATGTGGCTGCCTTTGAATCTTTGCTACCATCTGGTGCGACGAGATATCAGTGGCAGCAGGTTTAACATTGAATGAAGTCATGAGCAGAAGACTTAAATGTAGCGTATGATGTGTGAGTACATGTGTGTGAGTGTGTGTGTGGAGCAGAGGCTGCATCCCCTCTCGTTGTTAAGTGTTAGTGAGCTGGAGTGTGGTGACGCCTGCAGCAGGGAGCAAATCAGCATCACTCACGCTATCCATCTGTTTGAAAACACATGCCCTGAACTCAGCGGATGCTCCTGTGATCAGCGTCTTTATGTTGTGCTTCAAACCTCATTCACTCATTCACATCTCCCTATATAATAGACACTCAGTGATCTCCCTCATGCCTCAGTTCATCTAAACTGTGCTTACATTCTCCTGTTTCCTCAGTATTGGGAGTCTATTTTCTAGAGACTTGCTGTCTTTCTCAAAAACGCACAACATGATTTATTAATATCTGTTTTTCGTGTGTTTGTTTCTTTTAGTGTCCACAATGTGATAAATCCTTCCTCAATTCCTCCTTTCTCCAGAATCACATGCAGCGCCGTCACCCTGATGAGTATGAGATCCGTAAGTCAGACTCTCATAAAGGTTTGCTGAGCAGTTTAGGAGAAGGACAGAGAGAGAGAGAGAGAGAGAGTGTGATAAAACATAGAAAAGGTAGGAGTCAGATAGATTTCTAGCACTGGACGAAATGGCAAAGAGGAAGATGACAATTTAGGAATAGAGCATGTATAGCAATAGAGCAGAATACATGCATTATCATTTTTTTCCCCCCTTGTTTTACTTCCTTCCAGAGTTGCGGTCAGACAGTGAAAAGAAATCTCAGATTGAAAGCCTCAAACTGGAGATCAGCAGCCTGAAGGAGCAGATCGTTCAACAGCAACAGACCTTGCAAGCCAAAACAGCTCAGGTAGGAAAACCAGAAAACTGTCGCAGGAGCAAGCTCTGCTTCCTGCTGCACGGACAGTGAGTCACTTAAAAACGCTTTCTCCTGCAAATCTGTTTTCTCTGTTAACGTCAAAGCTTTTACATGATTTCTTATAAATCTAGATAACAGTGGAAACACATGGTTCCAATAAATATGACCTTTTAACATCTAATAACAACCACTCATGAAGAGAGAGGAACACTATCTGGTGCTGAGGTGGAGTGAACTTATGAGATGAAAAATAAATTGGCCTGTTTGACAGAGCAGATCTGTTTCGACAGCAGAGCTTTCATCTCACATTAAAAGAAGCAGCCACTGTTTATTGTTTGCACTACACAGGCCGCATGATGACTCGCTTTTTAGATTCAATTTTTATACTACAAATTAATTTCCCTGCCTTTTATGCATGTAACCATAGCGATTGGGATTGATATGGTCCATCCCATCGTGTGTGAAGTTGAGTCTGAGTGAGGCCATTTAAGTTTCTGCTTCTATGCCAGTGAGTTGTGACTAATGACGCTCGTCTCTGCGTGTAATCCCAGGAAAAAGAGCAGCAGTCCATGCACAAAGACCTGCTCAGAGAACTGGACCGCTTTAAGGCCGAGGAGATGGCTCGCATGGAGAGGAAGATAGAAGACAGCAGGGACGGCATGCGCAGAGAGATGGAGTTTCTCTACACCCGAAACATTCATGCTCTCAATGTAGGAAAAGGATACTTGGATAATCCCTTCAGTAGCTTCATTTTGGCTTCAGGATATCTTTTATTAACACTAGTTTCACATGTATTTTCATTCATAGGAAGCAAATCAGAATCAGACCTCCAAGCATGAAAAATCCCCCAGCCCTGTTCAGTCACAGCCCGAGAGAGACCTGGACATCTACAAAGAGATGCAGATACAAGCCATCCAGAAGCTGGAACACCAGATGAAGAAACAGGTCAGTGTAGGAGGAAGATCATATTTTACAACCTACAAATGATTTCATCCCCTAAAATGCCCCAAATATTCTTTTCTAGGATAAAAAGTGGGAATCCAGGCTTTACGAAATTAAGGCTCAACATGAGACTGAGAAGAATCAGGTATGGTGAAGTCCTAATTATATCATTTAAGCACCTATATGTGAACCATTTAACTAGCTTTTGGTAGAACATGTATTCTCCTCTTATTGTTTTCCAGCTGCTGAACGAGCTGAGCAGAATGCAGTCGTCTGTGTCCGAGCACCAGGAGCTGAGCCAGAGGCTGCAGCAGGAGCTGGGGAGGCGGCTGCATGAGAAGGAGCAAACCATCAAGGCTCAGAGGGAGCAGGTTAATACTCGCTCACCACTCACACAGTCCTCACCGCCCACTGCGATTATGTCGGCAGAGGAAGTGAGGCGGAGGTTCGGCCCTTGTTCAGGATATCCTGTATTTGCTTCACGGGCTCAGATTGAGCTGGACTGAGATATGATGGTACTGTACATCTGACAGGTGCCGCAGTGCAGCTGTTTTCCTGGAATATCTCCATGTTTTTAGATAAGTGGCTGAAAGCTGAAACAGTCTACTGGGGGGGGGGTGTCATGTTTGTATTTAAATAGAAAAACATGGTCCACATCTTTTTACAGACACATTTTGGATAAACAATCCTGATCATAGCTAAACTGAGAGATGAATAAAAAAAAATGTTCATATACAAACAAACACACCCAGGAGACGGCTTCACACAGGTCAGAAGCCCCCACCCCAACACAGCCACTGACATATAATCAAACATTAGATATGCTGTACCTCCGGTGTCCATAGCAACGGAAATAACAGAAATGTCCATACAGGCTGAAATTATCTGTACACTGTCATAGTCTGGGGATGTCCAATGAGTAGGAGTTATGAGGTAATTCAATTTACACTCAGAGGGATCGTGTAAATACCAGAGTGCTTTTAATTTGGAGGAGCAAATGTTGGGTTAGCATTAGCATTGACTTAATACAGCTCTGATCAGGGCTGCGTATCAGACGTAGACACTTTTATGGACACACTGACATGTTTGAGTGTGTAAAGAGGCAGAGCTTAAAAATAAAACTAACTAATCATTTGTAGCATGAAGTGTATTGTTATTTTCTTTTTGCTGAAATGGATTTTAATAGATTGATATAGAAAAAAGTATCATCAAGAATCGGGTCAAAGTTAAGGTTTTAGTATCAGTACCGATATGGAAAACAGACTGTTACTATCAATAAAGAATGGATGGGGTTTAGCTTCATGAGAATCTTAAGAATTATAGCTTATTTATTCAGGAAATAAATTATTTTTCATGTGCGATCACGAGGTGTAATAAGTGTTAATTTTTTCAACTTACAGATAAGGAATATTTCCTCAAATCCGCCCATCAGAGTAGTGGAAGTACCAGGTATGGATTCCTTTCCCTCCTTTTTTCATCAGAAAAATGTATCACTGAAGGAAACTGCATGTGTGATCCTGATGTGTTCATCCTGTTCTCTGTGTTTCAGTCAGTGCAGCAGCTCCAGAGCCTAAACCAAAGAGAGTTGTACTTGGTAAGTTGGTAGGAACCAATGAAAACACTGTCACTGTCACTGAGAGGCTGAGCATGTGCTTTTACCTGCATGAAGGATTTACATTATGCTGTTTCAGGGAGCAGTACTGTTACCACATTCCCGCTCTGTTAACGCCTGTTTTGTCTGACTTCCAATGACCTTTGACCTCGTGTGCTGTCCAATTAGAGGAGCCAGTCTTTGCTCTTAACCTGGATCCCATACAGGAGCTGTCAGAAGAGGAGAAAGGTAAAACGGACAGTTAAAGCAACAGAGCCGGTCGACTGCATGCTACCTGCATGGATGCATCAGTCTGCTCTGGGCAGCTCTTTGTGTTTCGAGACTGAGATCATCTTACTCCACACTGACATGAAAGACATTGGAGATCATCTTATCACAAGGAAGCTTTGTGGAAAAAGCCAGCTCATGTCAGTTATACAATCATTACGTCCATCTGTCGCCTTGTTTGTGGCAGGTAAACGTGCAGACATTTTTCCTCTCATGCCTTTCCTCATGGCGGTCACGTCCATCTCCCAGACTGAACCTGTGGCATGGAGCTTGCTGTGAAAACTGCCGAATGCATGCTCATTTTTATCTTTTGTACATATGACTCCACCGCCTGTGACTGGAGCTTGATTCTCAACACAAGACTGAGGGAGATTTCTTTTTGCAGACTCGAGCATCTCCGAGAGAAGACCAGTGGAGAAGAAGCCTGAGCCTGCAGCGGAGAAGCAGAGGGTGACCACCAGCGCTCTGAAAAGGAACCCCAACATTAAGAAAGAGATGCGACCAGAGCTGGAGCTGGCTGTTATTAAGAAGCTGGAGAACCTGGGGATCAAGTCTGTACGTTCTTACACACTTTATACAACATACGATCTATAAGAAACATTCTCTCTACTTAAATATATGTCATCCCTTTCTCTGCCTCTGTACAACCCTAGAAACTAGATTGTATTCCCTCTGCTTCTTCTCAGGATCAGAGCGGTCTGAAGAGCAAGGAGCTCACTTCCATCATGGCCAGGGTGCACTCGAAGCGGGAGAGCATAGCGAAGGGGATGCCGGACTACTGGCGCCATCGAGAGGAGATCGCCGGCACTGTGGAACAGAAGCTGGGCGGTCAGAGGAGAGGCAGCGACCCTGCTGCTGAGTCACAGGCCAGATCCAGACACTCAGTTCAAGGTGCTTCCCAGGACTGAGTCATCAAAACGCCTCTTGGCATATGACATCATCTGTTTATATTGTCATTCAGCCCATTGACCAAAAAGAAGCACGCTGCACTACACTGTGACTTTAGTTCATTTCAGCTAGATCATCGTTGCTCACTGCTGCATTCATGGCTTATTATGATTGAGTTTACTTTAGTTTTGCCTAATTTGTAGTAATTGGTTTTGACTGTGTGTACATCCAATGCTACCAGTCTAATCTGTGGAAGCGTGTTTGCCGCCGTCTAAGCTGATTTAAGCTGTGACACACTCTGCGACTGATCAGCTAATTGCATTATCTGTTTTTGTGTGTGTGTAGTTCTGCAGATCCGGCCTCGGTCCAGTAGCCTTCCCTCCAGAGCCACCCAGGTGACGTCCAGACCTGCAGTCAAACAGTCCAAGACCCCCCAGCCAGCCCCAAGGACCAAGAGCACCACCCAACCCAAGACATCTACGCCCAACACCAAATCTGCTGTGAGGACCTTCACAACCAGGTAAAGACAAGAACTTTGTGTTAAATGAAATTGTTTTGTAGTAGAATGGAGCAAGAATGCAGTGCATGGACTATTTATTTATATGTTGTGTATTTAACAGGCACAATGCACAAAGCGCTTAATGTTTCAGGTAAGTTAAAAGCTCATTTCTGTGATTCTTGAGGACTCCTCCTTTCAGTTCAGATGAGGAATCTAAAGAAGAGGACACAGACATGGAGGAGGAACAGCCCCCGAAACACCAGAGGGGCAAATCACCACAGCCCAGACTAAACCAGGCGACCCCAGTCCAAATCAGATCGAGCAAAGCCAGTCCGGTCCAGGCCAGGCAGGCCGCCGTCAGGCAGTCGTTCTCCTCCAACCCCCAGCAGTCCTGGGGGTCAGTGGGTGTTGTGACCAAGACCGCAGTCTCAAAGATGGAGAGCGACGAGGACGATTGGTCCGAGGTCAGCGAGCTACAGGAGATTGACCCCAAGCAGCTCCAGGGTTACAGAGACCAGAACGGCAACGTGGATAAGAGAAACTTTGGTAAAGGTAAGTTTTCAAAAAGGCCAACTCACACCAGACATTGAAATATGTTTATCTTTATTACTCAATACTGAAAATTGATGTTACCTGTAGATGTTAGATTTTCATTTGTTCTTCAGTCTCGACTGAGTCCAGGTTTTTTTTGGTGGTGTTTTGTGTTTTTTATGGAGACTCAAAACAGCAAAAATGTCAGATCAGTTCATACTGAAGTGGTATAGTGAGTCAAAAGTATGTCAGCATGTGATTTTTAGGTTCTGCCGCCTTTATAACACAACAACACACATGTTGTTTGAATGTATGAATATAAGCATATTGAGTAATAGGGAAAAGTACTTGGCATTTAGTGCCATATAAGCCAAAAGTTAAATGTTAATTGAGAACATTATTGAGGAACGTTTAACCTCATTGTTTTGTCCTTATTGTGTTTTATATTTTGTTTGTTAACATGGTGTTTAGTCTATGAAAATTACGATCTGAAATCTGAAAAAATCATCAGAACAAAGTTTTTATTATATTATGTAGAAATGGAAACGGAACTAATCAAACCACATAAATATATGTTATGAATTGCCTGTTTTTTGTAGAGAACAAAATCAACGTCCTAGCCAGAAAAATGGAGCAGTTTGCAGACAGAGCAGTGAAGAAACCAGCAGGGGGCGTCAGCATCTTACCAGAGCGTAAAGATGAGGTGCAGGAACTGACGGTGAGATGATGGGACCTCAGTGCAGAGCTCTGGTTCACTGACATTATTATGTAGTAAAACAAGCAGTGTTAGCCTCGAGCAAGTTTTACTGAACGTAAATCAGTGAATATTGTTTCTCTTCATGGTGACAGTACACAGATCTAGAGGAGAGCAGTGAGTGGATGGTCTCCTCCTTAGAGGAACGACAGGAAATGTCTAAACCAGCTCACGGCTCTGGATCGCTGAGGAAGAGTCTGGACTCACCCAGCACCAGCGTGTGGGGGACCTCCACAGGAAAGGCTCCCAAATCAGGTCAGTGCCCTTTGTGATGTCTGTGAGAAAATATGTTGGAGTATAATGATCGTGACTGTATTGTAGACTTGTCCTATGTGTAAAGCAGCTGTCCTGTTACCAGCAGGTCTGACTGAAGCCGGGACGGGAAGCACCCTGAAGAGCAGCCTCTGCTCCCTCAGTGACATCAGTGACTCTGAAGACATTAGCAATAAATACAGTAAACACTAGAGCTGATCAGGTGATGTAGCACTATGCCAAGCACAGAAATAAAGACCTCAATCAACTCCTCTGACATCCACAGTCCTTGCCAAATAGCCATATTTTATACTTTTACATGGAAGCTACAATACAAACATGAGCAATACTTAACAAAGGGAGTGAGTCTGTTCAGGATTCAGATTTCTCATTTAATAAATATGTTAGGGATAAACGGGATTACACGTTGATTGACTTTGTGAGTCTCATCGTACGCCTTGTGCCAATCCTCTGCTTGCCTTACACCTTTTCAGTGTTCATCTTTTAATAGATTCAGTTTCGTATATTCTATTAAATGTAACCAACACCCCAAATGAAGTACTGTATGTGGTTTGTGTAAAATTTTGTATATCAAATTTTATAATGCCTTCATGTGCTAAATGGAGCGATGAGCTGTGATTTTGTATAGAAAATATTTATACAAGCAATAAAAAGATTTCTTTGTGAAACACATATGTGCAAATTGATGCATGAAACATGACAATCCAGTCATGTGTCATCAAGGTTCAAGGAAGCCAACACTCAAGTGCCACAAAAACAGTTTTGGTTTCCATCGATAATTTCCAACTTCATCACAACTGTACCGGAATTCAATTTTTAAATAACTCGCCTGTTTAAATTTTAACGGTCAAAGTTGAGGGCGTGGCCTCTTTGAGTGACAGATGGGTGTGGAGTAACTGACCATGACCTCTGGCCGTGTTTGTGACGTTTGGAAGATTTGTCATGCAAGTAAGGGACACATATTATGGTTTGTTTTGTGGCTAATGTGCTAACCGAACACGAGGATATCTGTGCTGTTTTTTAAGGTGAGTGAAATAATAGTGTTATTTATATGGTAGCACTTATTGGCAGGTAACGCGTCTGCGCTACCTTGTTAGCTTAGCTCGTTAACTTGTCAATTAGCCAGTTAATGTATTAGCCTTGGGTTAGCCATCTAGCAAGACGCCCGGTTGTGCTTACAATGCTAACGTGTGCGCGTGCTTGCCAGTTATTAAACCGACATGCACCGAAGTCTCGGCTCCATTTACGCCCCAACTCTTTGCCTATTTTTAGATTAGCCGGGAGTTAAACAGGGTTAGGCACCGCCAAGATGGCGACCGCGTCGCAGCCAGCTCATTTGAACTTCAAAACAGCTGGTCAGAAACCTATGGCTAAGCCTATATTCACATGCAGTCTATGAGTGTAATATAGGGTATTCACATATTTTAAAAAGGCTGTATGCTGAGCTTTTGAATTACGTGTGTCTTTGACTTATTATTTGATCATTTTTCTGGCATTGTTCTCATATTTTAACCACTATGATCATGAAACAGGTATTAAAGAAAGTCGTTAGTTCTATGTGGTATAAGAAATGTCTTAAAAGCTCTGTCTTTTGACTTTGTAAACCCTGCAGACCCCCTGTAATAAAAGCATAATTTTACATGGAGGCTGTATTCATGGGTGATTTAAAATGTGTGAAATCCTCCAAGCTTTCAGCTACTTGTAAAGTAATAATTGGAACCGTCTCCTCTAAAATATTTTTTAGTTCATAAACCCTAACCCTACAGAACAAGTGTGACTCATTAAGATTAATACCAACTGTCATCAGTCACACTGTGGGGCAGCAGACATAAAACCCTCAGTGCCTCAATCTCACCCGCTAACTTGGTTATGAAACTGATTTGTAATATGAGCAGCTGGGTTTTTTATGGGCAGTGACAGCTGTGATGACTTCCTATCCTGACAGCTCTGGCCTCCTTGAATCATTGGGTGTGGTGCAGAAGGTTGACCAAGTAATCTATAGGTACACCTGAGCAGATCTAAGGCTCTGGTGCCATAACTCGCCCAGTCATAAGCCTGTTACAAAGCCTACTTAAATATTGTCGTCTGATAGATAGACATGAAAGAATGAGGCAATGGAGACTCTTCAATAAAAGACAAATTCTAACAACTGTAAATAAATTTTTTTAAAAACGCAGCACCAACTTATTGCTTTGCATAGAGAAAATACAACAGTAGCTTTATGTGTTTAGCGAAACAATATTGTTATCATTTTTTGCCTCCATTGAACACACAACCAAGTTTTATGGCTGACATGAAATTAATTTCTACGAGAAAGCTTATTAAAGGAATCATCCAATAGTGCTAATTCGCTGTCTTGTCTAGAGATGAGAAGATTGACACCTGTTTTGTATGTGTATGCTAAATATGAAGCTGGAACCTGCAGCCAGTTAGCTTTGCTTAGCATAAACAGTGGAAGTAGGGGGAAACAGCTAGCCTGGTTCTGTCTGGAAATAACAAAAAACATCAGACAGAGCAAGACCAGAGTCTCACTTCATACTGAATCAGACATGAGTGTTATCAGTCTCCTCGTCTCATTCTTGCTAAGAAAGCCACTTGGAGTATTTCCCAATATGTCAAACTCTCTTTAACTTTAAAGTCATTTTCCGAGCTCAGAGTTCCCCTCTCAGACGAAGCTGTCCCTGCTGAAGGTCTGGCGGCTCTTTGATGTGGCTTTGGTTGCTTGGCTCTTCCTGCCCTCATAAAACAGAGGAGGCACCAGAGTCACTCTGGATGACGAGGCCGGCAGCATGTAGGTCCGTCTGGTCCGGGCGGTGGCGTAAGAGACTGGTCTCCGAGGCTTTTTCTGGGAACTGATTATTGAGAGAGGATTTAACATGGTGAAGTAATTCTCAATTTCACCTCTTATGCAATTACTGTGGTCCAAATTATTGATAATGAATATAAAAGGACTGTTTAGGAGGTTTCATATTTACCTTGATGGGATACCTTCTTTTCCAGAGAAGTAACTCAGCACTGCTCCTCCAGAGAGGAGAAGGATGGTGCCTCCAAAGCCGACGAAAACTGCTGCTCCGATTTCAAATCTGAACAGCAAATATCGAGGTGAGGTTTGTTTTTATGCACTTTTTAAATCCCTGTCTTTAAATATCACTTAAGTGGACCTTGTTGTAATATTCATACTCACTTCTGTGCCCTGAAATGGGGATCCAAGTATTCTCTTACGACTTTGTTGGCCCACCATGAGTAGGTGATCAAACCACAGGATCCTAACAGAAAATATGTCATACTTTGAACCTTCTGAATGCATGTTTTACAGAAATTCAAGTTAAATGTTCTTGAAAAACATACAAAACATTTTTTTTAACCTGACACCAGGTAGGTTAGAGCTCCTGCAAAGGTCACCCTCGCATTGGCAATCTCTGACCCGCCTATTTTAGTGCATTTCATCCCAATGAGTGTGAGGACGCCTCCGAAGAAGCCGGTGATGACGGCAATGATCGCCAGCGCTCTGCAGGCGTGTAGGTACACTGCAAGAAAACAGGCAAGTTCAGCAAGAGGTTTCAAGTTTGTTTTATTTTAATAAATGAAGAAAATTAGTATGTTAAATATAACTTGCTCCAAAATTTAAATGTAATTAAAGCAATTAACCTGTACTGTGTTCTCTAGCCAGTTAACTTTGGAAATGTATTAGAATTTATGATTTTTTTCTTCAGTTAAAATCTTTTGCGAGAACTGGTGAGGATCTATTTAACTTTTCTCTTCCCCGATTTATTCTTCTAGTTTTAGATGTATTGTTAAAAAATAAAAATAGTTATGTCACGTCACTTTGGTTTGATTTGATATTTACTCTTTGTGGTGGTGTCCTGGTTGGGAGAAAATATTCATTTAATATATGATTCAGCATTCCTCATCCCTACAGTCCCTAAATCTGTTCAACTGTTGAGAAGTAAAAATGAAATACTTAAATACATTTTGAAATTTTGACGGTTGATATTGAATGTTTCAGAGGATCCTACCAGGCAGGCCCAGCATGGAGGGGTAGTCCTTGCAGTCGGACACCCCTGTGGTGTCGGAGATGCAGTCCTTCCACAGGTTGGAGTAGTAGTTGGAGGTGGTCAACACGATGCTGCCCACCTCAGAGAAAGTCCAGTACTCCGTGGGAAGAGTGGAACACACCAGGATCCAGCCGCACAGACAGGACACGAAGCAGCCAATCTCCATGTACATCACCACCGCCCTTTGTACCATGGTGAGTGTTGGCCGTCAACCAAAAACTGATAAAAGTATAAGATGTGTTGAATATAGAGAGGAATGCCCGAGCTTTAACTGTTTCTCAGTGTGGGAAACTGGACTGAAGTCTGTCTCTGTCATCGCTGATGTGGAGGTGTGGATGTTTGCTTGTGTCTCATCTTATCTTTTAGACGGTTTTGCCCAGTAAGCATCCTTCATGTTCCCAGGACTCGGGCAGGAACGGTGAGGGATGACGTCTTTCTGGATCATTTTACTGATATACTTAACACTTTTACTTCCTCACTGTTGCAAAATCAACCATTTTATTCCGTCTTCAAACACTTTTTATTCTTTTCTGACACGTTTACAACCCAAAAATAATGAGTAAAGAAATGGTAACCTTTCTATTTGCCACACTCAAAAAATAACAAAATATTTCATTACTTTTATGTTGCATAGGAACAAAAGTAATTTACAAAGACATGTATATGTGCCTGCAATAATAATATTTTCATTATTGAATAATCTGCAAATTATTTTTACTAGTCTGGCATCCCCAAAGAGAAATGATGAGTCATTTTCTGTAGCAGATTTCTGAAACGTCATCAGTTCAACGTCATGATTATAAGCATTGATTATAACATTATGAAAAGTAAAAACGATAAGCTGTTAAACAGGACAATAGCTAGGTGCAGCAAGTACTTACATCAGAAATGTGTCAGTGCTTTAATTCTTAATTATTTGGTGAAGTTAGAAAAATGGCCACTAGAAATGATTTCTTTAGAGCATATTCTGATATTGTTTACAGTCAATCTTCTCTTTATATGCAAGTGTTTCTGGGGCTAAAACACTTCTTATTACACCCAGTCATAAAAAGAGCTGGTAGAAAACTCTACAGGGCACTTTTAACAATTCAATGAATAATTATGATGTAACAAAAATATAGATTATAGAAAAAATTTACAAATTAATCTGTTGTTTTACACAATCACAATAGAAGCCACCTTGTATGCAGAAACACTTTGGGAGTCATGTGACCTATTTGACCCTCTGTAGATTCTTAACTCTTCTTTTTCCTCGTCTTTGTCTCTGATAACAGGAGAGAGAGGGAGAGGGAGAGGGAGTATATTATTCAATCAGAAACAGCAATAAGAAAGCATGTGTCAGAATTTACAGTGAAATGATTCAGATAAATGTTGCGTTAACAAACCTTTCGGGTTGCTTAACTCTGCACACAGTTGCGCAGTGAATTGTACAGCCAAGGAAAATAAGGAAACTCCCCACCAGGCCAAGATATAGGGGTGGTCCAATTTCATAGCTGAGGAGATAACAGTTATAATATGCTACAGTCTTATTAATGAGTGTTATTTAAAGACCAAATGTTACCCCAGTTTTGATGGATCTGCTTTGCTGTGTAAAAAAGCTGCAACCACTCTGTTTACGTATAAACAGTAACCAGCCACGTCTGATCCACCTGCATGAGGGAAAGCCGATGACATGGGGAAAAAAAGACAACAAGCCAGTGAGTAGATGATCTGAGAAGCTGCTCGTACGTAAACTGAGGCTTTGTAAATACAAACAGTTCATACTCACAGCCGACCAGGTGGAGAGCAGATGCCGTTATTAGCAGCTGGTCGTTACTTCTCTGGTCTCCTCCAATGTGTGTGCACTCCACTCCAAAAAATGTGAGCACTGTGCCAATCAAGCCGAGGCAAAGGCCGATCATCAGGAGCCCCCTAACTGCCTGGATGTACGCTGGATAACAGTCGAACACACATCCGGGGTCAGTATTTATTCACATTATTAAAATATTATGTGACACTGATGCATTCTTTTTACTGAGCAAATCACTGATTTATGTCCGTGTACCCACGTTTGACCGTCCACAACACCCCGAAGTCCACACAGTTCACCAGAGCGGTGGAGTCTTCATAGCAGTCCTTCCACAGGTCTGACCAGAACCAGGCTGTCACCACCACAGACGAGCCCGCCTGACCCCCCAGCTGGGCCACTCTTCAGTGAGTAGTTATATAATAATGATGAACACAAGCTGAAGAACTCAAACTCCTGCCCACCTTATCAAACTCCACACCTTCAGCTTCTAACACAGACTTTCAACTAAAAAAAAACAATTAGTCACATGACCCTCACCTTGAATTTGTAGCAGTTTACCTATGGACAGAGCCAGGCTAGCTGTTCCCCCTGTTTCCAGTCTTTATGCTAAGCTAACTCTCTGCTGTAGCTTCATATTTAGTACACTGACATGAGAGTAGTGTTCTCAGCAGAACTTATTATCTATTTATTATTGTCACTCCCATAAAACATCATTTTCACACACTCCTTCAAGTTCAACATTTCAGCATCTGTCTCTTCATGTGTTACCTCCAGCGGTCCATAGCAACGGTGCAGCCCACCAAGCCCCAGCCCAGTACGCAGAGCAGCAGGCCCAGGATCTGAGCCAGTCTCCTCCACATCCCTTCAGTCTGGTAAATAAAAGATGCTTCGCTAATTATGTACAAATAGTTACTGAGACGTTTAGAGATCGTAGCACTTTATTTCACTGTGTTTTGAACGTGTCAGAAATACTGCATGTGTAAGGTAGCAGTCCAAAATCAACTGGGAATTCAGATGTGAAAGTTGTTATTACCTTCTTACCTTGTAAAGAAAGTAGTCCACCAGTCAATCAAGAAAATAATGCTTCAGATTAAAGCTGTGGAGTTCCAGTCTTCGTACTGCTGCTGCTGCTGCTTGTGTATTTATGAGAAGCAAACACTGTTTACTGTCAACCAGACCGATCAGGTGGAGTTTTACGTGTTATCTAAAAGGTTACACAGGCTGACAGTTCTATTAGAAATTGATGTGAAGCTCAGTGATGTTAAACTGAGTAAATTGTGTTTAGTGAGAGTGTTTGTTTTGACACATTTTAGATTAAAAAATATAAAAAGATAAAAAAAGATTTAAAGAAAACGTTATTGTAAAACCAGGATTTCATCAGTTTTTATTGATACAAAACACACACAATTGAATTTGCTTCAATCAAAGATTCATAAATTGAAGAGAAAAGCTTCAGATCACCTGCTTTTCACATTCATTAACATCTGTCCTTCACATCATCATGTGTCACATTTATTCAGATATAAGAGTTTTTGATGAACGGTGTCGTCTCGCTCCTTGAACTGCCCGACAGTGACGACACTGTGCGGCTGCTGCTGCTGCTCCTTGACTCAGACAAAGTTGATATGCTGGACCTCGACGATAGGCCGGACTCCGACCCTGACCCTGACCCCGATCCTGATCCGGACTTCGACCCTGCAGACCTGGTAGTTCGTCCAGTCTTCGACGACCTCCCTGACTTGGCTGTGCGTTCTGATCCTGAGGATATGCCGGACACGTCTGAGCGCTCAGACCTGGACGACAGCTCGGAAACAGAGGACACTTTGGTCTTGGAGGTGATCTCAGACACGGTGGACAGAGCAGTGGTGGACTTGTTTTGCTCAGGATCTGGTAGTGGGCGAACGTTGATTACCCTGAGGAGACAGACGGACGTAGTATTATCTAGTCTAAAAGAAAAAAATCTTCAACCATTCTTCCTAAAAAGGCAGAAGAAAGCAGCTGTGGCCTTTATAATCAGTCCATGTATGTGGTTCTGGTTTTAGTTTCCACCAGCTCCTGAGGGAAATAAACGGCTCTTTAGTTGCTAAATGCTCCACTGTGTTCACTAGGTAGAGGCCTGCAAACCAAAACAATAAGGTAAAAGATGCTAGAAGCTCTGCAGAACTGAGGGGAACTGAAGTGTTGATAATTCTACTAGCAGCCCCCTGCCCATAGAATCAGTCATGTGATCTATTGTTAATACAAAAACATTGATTATAGCTTCTTTGAGAAATTAAATTACTATAACGTCTGCTTGCCAGGTTATATTTATGCCTCTGTCTGTCACTCATCAGCAGTAGATTGTCTCTGGGTGTCAGAGAGGCTTTGGGAAGAGGACTATGGTGGTAAAAGTGAAACATTATATCTTGAGTATAGGAGTATGCTGCAGAATTGATCAGCACTGATTAACTGTAGATTTATGATCTCTGAGCGCCTTCTAGTGTTGAAACTGATTTATAGCATTCAGTTTTTTTCTTTCCTCATTTAACCAGGAAAGCTTTTAAAATCCCAGACCTCCGTTTGTTCGCACCAGTGGCTTCAGGGTTATACTGCAAGGCGAGAGGGAACATCTGCACCCTGCCATCTATAAAGTGCTCAGTGCTCACAGAGACTCATGAATCTGCGGTAATGAGTCACTGCAGCACACAGGACTCTGGTATTTATTGAGGAAGTGGAGATTGGAGTAGTTTATTCACTTCCCCTGACATGTTGCAACAATAACATGTCTGTACTCACGTGTCCTCTCTGCTACAGAGCGGCGTGCACACAGACCATAGGTAGAAAAAACCACCAGTCATGTGCAAAGCTGAGCCAACCCAGCCCAGGAACAGCGGGGTGCCAAGGTCATACCTAAAAACACAAGAGAGGTTAATATTTAAAAATTTCCTTTATGTTATTAAAAGTAATTTTTTATGAAACGCGCTACATAATATTTAACATTTAAGCTAGTTAACTTACTTCAGTCCATTAAAGTCAGGGTTGAAGTATTCTACTGAGACATACTGTGCGTAAACAGCGTACCCACATATGGACAGCAAACCTGAAGACAGATCATGTAAAGAGAAAAAAAGTTTGACAGGATTTAAATTAGAGTAATATGTATCTTTAAAGTATTTTTTTTAATTGTTGAGTATTACCCTAACTGCTTTTAGGTATCTTTAGATATAATTTACATAAAGAATATTATCTAATCAAGTACATTTTTTATTTAATGGGTTCAGAGATAATTTAGATAGTAGGCTACTTTTATTTGGCCTTAAACAGAACAATTCTATCATCGTTTTAGAAACAGGGCTATGAATAAATTATGGTTACTTTATGGCTATATTATTTGTTCTCCATCTTAGTTTAGCATGTTAGCATGCCACCGTTAGCTAATGAACACCAACCATCTGACCACCAGAATCTGCATCTAGGTAATGACTAATTAATGTTCTGTTATTAAAACTAGGCCTTTACCGCTGACTATGTGGCACCATCCACCAGCGTAGATCTTCTTGTACTTTGACCGGTCTTTTCCCCCAATGAAGGTGCATTCCATACCCAACAGACTGAGCACAAACCCCAGCATGCCCAGGGTGAGAGCGGCCATCAGCAGGCCTCGCACTATCTGGATGTGACCTGGAGTTACGCAGCAAAACGAGCATTAATAAACACACTCTGGATTTGTTAGATAGACACAGCACAAAGACTGTTTTACCCACCCTCCACAGACCAGAGCACGGGGTAGTCGTAACAGTTGCTGACAGCGGTTGAGTCCGTAAAGCAGGATCTCCACAGGCTGGACCAGTACCAGGCGACCTTGATTATGGAAGAGCCCCCCATGCCCCCAATGGAGGTGATCTTCCAGCCCTCCATAGCCATAGTGCAGGCCACAAAGATCCAGCCCAGCACCGACAGCAGGAAACCCCAGATCTGGACCACGCGGATCTGCATTGCACGGCTTCTTATTGAGTGGATTCCTATCTAGATTCCAGATCCAAGGAAGCTTATGTTTTGTTTTTTTAATCCTTGATCACTCATCCACAATCTAACTGTGATGGTTTTCCTTTCAGATGGCCGTCCTTTACTCATGCAGAGGCCGTGTTCATCTAGTTGTAATCCAAAATCAGAGAGATGTCGATGTGGCCTCCTACTCTGCTGCTCCTCTCAGGAAAAGGAGAGGACGACTGGATCTCAGGTATGAAACAGGGGTGTACTGTTGTTTCCAGGTATTACTGCACATGTGGGTGAGAGACATCAGTCGCTCAGGTTCCCATGGGCCACGGTTGTGAGTTTGAATCAAGACTGAGAGTGCTCACCTAAGCATGTATCTCAAATTACCAAAGACTTCATGCCCCCATCACACTGTCCTGCACTTTCCCTCAAGTGCAAACATGTAAGATCTGGTTGTAGCATTAGTCATACATCTTAAATCACATTTCTTTTTAATTATTTCACAGTGTTTTTGATTGATCCTGCAGTTACTGGCCTCATCAAACAGTTACATCCTTTAGAAACTTACAAATACAAATAAATGCCTAATTGAAAGAGTATTCCAGCAATCGGGTGGGTGCGGTTCATAACACTGGCTTTCTGTTAAAAATCTTAAGAGTTGAGTCAACAAGACAGAACCCTGATTTATTGATTTATTTAGCTTTTATTTATTCAGGTGAATCCCACTGAGATAGAAATCTCATTTTCAAGAGACCAAAAAAAAAATTCATGAACAGATAGTCCAAAAAGAATTTATAAAACAATTTAAATAATAAAATTACAAAGATGTTATGAAAATAACACACAAAGAAAATCTAAGACATATAAAATGCTAATGAAAAAGATTATGAAACACATTGATCCAGTGTGTAAAAAAAGCCTCATCAGTTAAAACAATTGCATCCTGTTTTGGGAAGGTTTAAAATCTTCTTTGTAAAATGTGGAAACTTATAAAAACTAATTGAATCCAGATTTTGCGATCCAGATCTAAAAAAACACATTATATTTTTGTGTTCACAGGGTAAATATTACTTGTGACAAGTAAACTGATCTTTGTGTGTAAAATTCATGGACTGGCCCTTTAAATTACTCAGAATCTGGACCATTTAAAACCGAATATAAATCACAAATATCTCTCGGTTCACATATAGTTTTACAGTTATATGACATTGCTTGACATTTGACCAAAAAACATAAAGTGTATATTTCTGACCTTTACATGTTCCATGAGATATATAATAACACTGCTGCCCTGACCGCGGCTGCTTGAAGCATCATTCTTGACTTTGCCGGCGGCTTTAAGCTGCTAGTTATTATTAATTTTACCAGGAGCGCAGTGTGCTGTAGGTCTCATAATTGCGGCACAACGTCTTTGTACTGTTATACTTAGAGTTAAATCTGAGGTAATGAGAGTTACGGGGAGTGATGAATGTTCCCTCAGGGATGAAAGAGCTCCTCTTTGTTTCCAGGTCCTCTCGGATTATGACAAAGTTATTGGTAGTGGCGGGGAGATATTGGGAATGGTGAACCGCTGGGTAGCTTTGATTAGCTTTAATTAGCACGACACTAAAGAAAAAAAAGAACAAAGGAGTTCTTATATGACCTGAGCTGACCAGGGTTAAGAGGTCAGATGTTCCCAGTCTTTTCTGCGTGTGACCCTTTAAATACAAAGCAGCGTCTTCTCGCAACATCTCGCCGTGTTTGATTGAATCTTTAGAGCCGTGAAGATCGAAATCTATAAAATTCACATATTAGAGAAGCACTCGCACATTTTCCTCTTACTTTTTTCTTTTTATTAAGTTGTTGGCAACGGTTCAACACACACGGACGTTTAAAGCATGTGTATCCTCCTGAGACCCAGAAGAAAAAGTGGTTTGAAAAAAAAAAACAAGAAAGAAAAATATTTTAAATTTATTTTTTATCACATGTCCCCTAAGTGGATGATTTCTGTTCGAAGTTCTCGTGCATCAGAAACCTGCTCATCCACGTGCTAGTTGAAGAACTGCTGGGTCTCAGGAGGATATTCCAATGGGGATCACCAAAGTCATTAGGATTTATCCTCTGAAGACCGTGAGTGTCTGTACATTTTAAATTCTAACTTGTGCTACAACTTGCACAGATGATCCCTTTCTCTTGGAAAAAATACTTTATAGTTTAAAAGAAAGGAAGAAACAGACACAACTTGAAAACCTCAACATCTGCTGTTGTGCAGACATTAATGGTTCTCAGATGAAAATAAAAACTACACAGTATTTCACTAGAAAACAAAGCAAAGATTAGAGTTCAACAGTTAATTTTCTTCCCCGGTGATCATCCCACAACCCCTTAGGTTCATCATGTGAGTCCTCATGGGGGTCCAGACTCCCGGGTTAGGAATTATTATATAATTATTATCTGTAATGATAAAGTAATGCAGACATTGGACCATACAATACTACCATTATATCAGTGAGCGTTGTGCAGAGCCCTGGATACCCGACACTTGTTTACGGATGCAAGGCGGCGGAAAGCACAGAGCAACTGCTCCCTGCCAGCTGGTTCAAGTATCCAACCTGTGGGCCAAGAGGTTTTGTGTAACATAGCCTGGGGTTCCTATTGATAATAATTCCTAGGTGGAGATGGATGGCCGATAGGAGGGGAAACCTCCGGTCGGGCCTCCAGCTCTGCACAGCCTTCTCTGGGGTCAGATGTGATGTAGTGACCCTCAGAGGTCAGATCAGTTTAGACGAGAGAAACGAGAATGTCTTCATATGATTCATCCGGGAGAGGATTAACTGAAATCACAGATGGTCAGTCAGGTCTTAAAAAGTCTATAAAAATCTATTTTTTAAATTTTCTTAGTTACTAAATTAAAGTTAAATTGATATTTGATCAAAAAAACACATTGAAATTTGTAATTATTTAAAAACAGCCTGTTTTAAATGATGTTTCCATTTGTGGAAAAATATAAAAATATAAGTTTATAAGCACTGAATATACAAAATCTTATTCATTTGACAAAAAGACAAAAAGTATGTGATAACCTCGAGTTTTAATGGAATAAATGTTAGAAAATGACTCTTTTAAATATTAATTTCCAATTGGGCTTTGACTCAAGAATTATGAATTATGAAGTGTGTGTCCAGTCCATCTGAGACTGGGACAGGAAAGGCCAGCTCGCTGAAGGTGACCTGAGAGTTTGAACTGTGTTTTTGTGCCAAATTAAATTTCCTGCCCCAAAAGAAAAACAAGCTTCTCTTTTGCATATGGTCCAGTGACGGAAATGTCCCCCCCCCCCCCAAAAAAAAAGCAGCCATATTTAAAGAAGAATCTGGCCACTGTGTAAACTGTGAGTTCTGGCACAAAAGTTCATATGCAAGTAAATGCTGTCCTTCGCTTTAACTGGTGAGAGAGTTTCCTATGAAAACAGAATATTGTAAGAAAATCCTCAATCAACTCATGTAATTGTAACTGAATAGAGTTCAATTTCACACATAGGCATTCCTTCCAAACTGTCTGGACGGCTCCCCTGTTTCCTTGTGGAGGCTGTTGGTCGTCTTGCTCTGCTTGTTGCGCGCTGTCGCGAATGACGCAGCTCCACCGTAGGAATATTCAGCTCTGCAAAAAAAAGGACCACAAAAAATTAAGCCTTTCAATCCTCAATTTAGTCAAGCACATCATTGTAGGGCTACCATGCTAAAATGCCCTTTGTAGATAATGAATAAAACATGCTAAACGTAAGGCAAAGTGGTTAACAGTCAAATTTCTGGCACCAGATCATGATAAATATTCCTTTATGTCTTCCCCCTTTTCTATTCCTCTGTCATTTCTTGCCCTATCCACAATATCACACTAAGAACCTACAGCAATGCTAGCAGCTCTGTGAGGCTGAAATTAGGCACAGCTAAATGCTAATATTGGCATGCATACATGTTCACAATGACAGTGCTAGCATGCTAATGTGTAGCAGGTACAGTGTTTACCTAACCTGACCCAGGAAGTCGACAAAAGAGAAGGCTGCTGTCTTATCTTGCCTGATGCAATACTTCCATATAGCTGCCCTCGGTCAAGGTGACCTTCACTTCCAAAAGGACCTTGTTGTAACAAAGGAAACATTCAGCCATCATTGGCCCCGTTACTAATCAAAATTACCATCATACAATTTGGCCTGTAGGTTTAGCAATTACGAGACAAGATGCTGACAGAGATTACTGGATGTTCTCGACTGTAACTGTATCGCAGTTAAAGTAATTATTTAAATTGCCTGATTGAGTTAGGAACTCAGTGCAGTTTAGAATTTGTCCAAATCAGATTTCCTCTAAGTCCTTGATGCCGATGACAGATGTGGGATCATGTTGTTAGCATCCAGCAGGTCAGAAACTGAGCAGCTTGCCTCATACTGAAGCCCTCAGACAGGGAGAGACAGAAGACAAGTCCTCCCAGGATGCACAGCACGGATCCAGCCCAACCGATGAAGAGAGCTGCTCCCAGCTCAAACCTGCAAGATTCACATGGAAAAAAAAGAAATGTACGACTGGACTTTGTTTCATCTGAATATGTGTTTGATCTGCTGTCAAACAAATCTTTATTTAAATCCTGGAAACTTACTTCTGAGCAACAAAGAGAGGATCAAAGAAGTCAGTTGTGATCCTGTGAGCATATATGGAGCATGCAGTCATGCAGCACAGGCCTATGGAGAGAAATAAGTGGATTTCTACTTCAAATTCTGACTGAAAACAAAGAAGAAGGCGCTGATAATGTAATATTGCACAATATTAATTTTATTCCAGAGCTTAAAATGCACATTTTACCTCCGAGGATGAAGTGGAAGCCTGAGAGGACGGTCAGACGAGCTTTGGTGGTCTCTGAGCCTCCTATCTTCGTGCACTTCATCCCCACCAGGGCGAGGATGGCACCGAAGAAACCCAGACACACAGAGGCGATCATCAGACCCCGACACACCTGGATGTAGGCTTCAAGACAGAGAGAGAGAGAGAAGAAGGTAGAAGGTGATGCTGCCTCCAAATAACCAAAAGCCATTTCACTCAAGTTAGTCAGCCAAAAAATTGTAACATCTTTAATCATCCCTCAGATTCATTGTAGGACCCTTTCGAAGGCCCCAACCCCAAGTTTGGGAACCACTGCTTTAAGCCAGAGGTTTGCAGGAAAAGTAAATGAGTTTAAATTTGCTTTAAACTTGTGTCATAGAGCGAAAAACCCATATAAAATGCGCTTCCTTTTCTCATGAGTAACGGCAAAAAACGAAGTGATTCTGCATGAATGTCTCACTTTGCCTCAAGACATTGGAAAATTCTGCACTTAAAAGCAAAGACCTCCCTAACTGTCACTAGCGAGTAATGGGAAGTGACAAGTGACCAGCGTGTGACCATATGACTTTCTCAGATTGCTTCATTCGGACACATTAGGAGGTTGTTGTGAGTCCAGCTCAGCTCCCTCACTGAAATATGCTTCTGGTGGCCTTTTAGTTTTAAATGTGGCCATTGTTTATGGCCTGGAGCCAGTGTCAGAAAGGGAAATATCAAGTTCCAAATGCTTTTGTTTACAATGGTGCTCATTCATCCAAAAACAACAGGTGTTGGGCATCACTGCTTCAGTCAGATGGAGACATAAAAATGAACAGAAGTCCGAAACATGCACAAAGATAGATGTACTTCTGCAAAAACAACAACCACAGTAACCCAGAACTCACCATCCAGAGCCAGCATCGAAGGAAAGTCTTTGCAGTTTGACACGCCAGTGGAGTCGGTCACACATGTTTTCCACAGGTTGGACCAGAAGGTAGCCGTGGTGATGACCGTCCCATCCACAGAGGACACCTTCCAGTAGTCTGTCGGCAGGGTGGACGACACCAGGATCCACCCGGAGACGGTCAGGAGAAAGGCGACAATCTCTGTCGCCATGTTGCCCATTCTTCCTCTGGCTCGGAGGTCCGGACTGGGGACGGGACGGAGATCTTTCCCTCTGAAGTGTCGGAGAGGAGGTGGGAGGGTCGGTCCCGGACAGGTGCGTCAGCACTGGCAGTTCTGCAGAACCTTTGCTTCTCTTTCACCTGCTCAGCCAAGCATCGACGTCCGAGAGCCAGCACTTTTCAATGCACATCATTCACTGACGCACAATCAGTTGTTGTATATCGTGTTTGTGTGCGGTGATGGGAGGGTGAAGGGGCGCGCACACTCGTCATCACTCTGCACGGCGTCCGTAGGGGTCTGCAAGGGGATCTGCAGAGGGAGGAAGTCTTTAATTGAAAGGATCTGAAAAGTCTGACAGAACAAGATAGGAAAGATTGTACGGTGAATTGAATGAATGAATGATGTGTTTTGTGTTCTTTTCTTTTTTTTTTTAATTTCAGTTAATTTCACAATGCTGCACCACAAGTTAGTTATCCGGTATTTCAAGACCTCGGCACTACACGAATGCAGTTTTAGCATGAAGTACAGATTTGTTCTGGTTCCATCTATACTGGTTTTACAGCGTCACAGCTCCATCAAGTGGCAGAAAGGAGAAACTGTTTCAAGCGCCCTGAAGCTGTGATGTTCAAAATGTGATTCTTTTTAAACCAAATGCATGATGTGCTGCTGGCGGTGGTGATCCCCTGAGTTTTGACCTCTTTTTCATTTGTCACATTTGTGGTTGTGGTTATGATGATGTTAGCATTCAGCCAAAAGCACTGATGTGCTGCTAGCATGGCTATTAGTCTTAGGTTCTTTATCTTTTTTTCCCAGTTGCTTTGGTAAAGTTTAGATTTGTACTACTGCCAATTTGAATGACAGAAACAAAGCTATTTCAAAAATATATCTATTTCTTTTAGCCATATATTTTGACTTCCCTACTTGTGTGCTCACTAATCAGTCTAAATAATTTATTTCAACAAGCAATAAAAATGTCCTGAGGGATTTTGCTGCGATGGCCTTGCTTGATCTAGTAGTACCTGTCGCTACTGGTGGCTAATGTTAGCTAATACCTTAGATTACCTTAGCAAACCATACATAGATAATGCTGTGAAGTGACAGTTCAGTTATGCTGACTTTATGACTCTTTTCTATTTGTGCTTTTATGTTTTATTATTTAGCTGCTACGTAGCTTAAACTATCAGGTGTTTAAATCTTTAATAACCGGCCAAAAACTGATGTATGATCACGATTGTACTTACTTAACTTATAGTACTTTGGTTAAATTCCACAGCTGCCTGTTTGTGTCTACTTAATTTCAAGTACAATTACTAGCAAAAGTAATATCTGATCGACTGCTTTCATATCTGTTTATATCCATAACACACACACACCAACACTAGCACCAATTCTTTCACTTTGTTATGTTCTTGTTAATCAGTGTCATATGATGTTCTGTGCTGGTTCCCTTTTCTAGTCTCAACACACCACTGTGTGATTAGGGTGTTGCTGTAGGTTCGCATGGTTTAATTAAATAATCATCATTGAAAACAAGGTGACCAGACACAACCCAGAGCAAGTAAATATATAGCAAATAGCAAATACATGATAGAACAACATTTAGTGGAGAAAGAAGCTAAGTAGAGCCCGAGTGACTTCCTGTGAGTCATGTCTCAGTGAACGCTTCCAAACAACTATGACAGTATAACTTGGGTAGGAGGGAAAGAGGCTTAGGAAGATAAAGCAGACAAAAAAATCTAAAGGTGTCAGAAAGTCAGTCAAAAAGTCAAATAACCCAATATATATACACATATATAAATGTATATGACATAACCTAATCAGTCCTCTGTAAATCTTTGGAAACAGAATGAGGCAGTAAACCAGGCACTAATTAATTAAATTCCTAATCTTTTACTGAAAAACTGTTTACACTTGTGGTTCGCCCTGCTTTTTTTTTTTCAACAAGGATTAGATCTAATCTGTTTGCAGAGAAAGAGGGTTTGTTTCCAGGGAAAATAATTACCTGAAATATTTCCTGAACCCTCCTGGTTGTGTTGTCCATGCTTTATTTTATGACCCCAGGATCAGGGCCAGTGGGGTCTGATCCTGGGGTCGTAAAATGGGCACGGGTAAAATATTCACATATTCACCATTCCAGGAAATCAAAACCCAGGTGTTCTACTGTCAGTAAACAACAGTCAGAAGGTCCCGAGAGATCGGTTTCTTAAATCTCTGGAGAGTTGAACCCTGGATGACACGTTTCTATGGCCGCTGTTGCCGAGCAATCTCGAAGGGGACTCTAATCCCGTAAACCTGCGAATGGAAAGGGAAGCAGCTGGAACAGGTTGTTATCTGTGTTAAACTGATGATGACATCCCATCACCGCCATGAATATGAGCATCAGATTATCTTAACCTCGGCTGGGAAAGCAGTAATTGCTAATGAAATAGGCACGTATTGTTGACATTGATAACATCGATATACAATAAACGAGAATTGCCTACCTATAAGAAATCTATTTGTCTAGAGTGTCCAGGCCACATGTCCGAGTTAAAAAGAAATGTGATTATAAAATCTTAACGTTTCATCTTGTGGCATCAGGTCAAGTTTTAATTTGTCCAGGATTGACATTTATTACCTTCCTATTCCCATCAGCTACATCTGTACTTTCTGTTTATTGCTTATTTTACTATTTTGGTGCCATAATCGTGTCAAAAATGCGAATGTATGCATAATATATAAATGAATTGTAAATTGTAAATGTATTTGTTTTGCTTCGGGGTGGCAGAAATCTATTGTTAGCTTGTGTGCTAGCTCTCGCCATAGCATTATGTGGTGTTAAAAGTAAAAGCCAAAGTAAGTTTAATTTTTTAGGGAGGTTCACTTTGAGTCTATGGCTTCTTGATCTCTCCTGTCACTTCTGTTTTACGTCTTTTATCTGCTTTTATGTTTCTAAGAGTACAAATAAACTCTCTGTCTTCTGATACTTCATTACTGTTTAGCGTATACATTGATTTAGTTTAGGTAGAGTCAAACTGTTGTAAGTTTACATCAGAGAATATATGGGCAAAACAGCAATGAAGTATCATAAGATACAGCAATACTTTACAGGGGAGAGTTTAATTTTTACAAGTGAACAAAGTGAGCACTTGAGGGAAGAAAAGAACCTGGGAATATACAAGGAAAAAATAGGCCTATCACTCGGTTGGGATATCATGGGAAAGGACTGTTGATCCCCTACAGATGAATGTTATTGGGCTGAGTTCAGCTGCCTGTAATAATCTCCTGCTGGCTTTTCTCCTTCAGCCCTTTTCCCAGTCGTTGCTGGCTAAACATCAACAGGAGGATAATGTGTAAGGTGTGAGGGGCAAGGCCGCTGCAGTCTGTTATCGTTAGATTGTCAGTGTCAGGATAATAGTTTAACTTGGTTGCATGTGACTGGATTTCTTTGAACGGTTTCCTTGAACACTGAAATGGAAGAGAAGGAGGGTGAAGAGGGTGGTGTTTTAGTCCTCCTACTCCCCTCTAGTTCTTTTATGTGCAGGAAACACCTGTAGTGTGTCAGAGGGTATCTGTCATCTACGACACGCTCTTTATTTATAGGATATCCTCTTTGTGTCCACATCAGGTGCCTGTGTGTTTGTGCAAGGGACCGGGACAACTGAGAGATGGAGGGCAAGCAAACACAACTTAGCTTGAAGGGAAATTTTAAAGTAATTTCCTTTTGCCATGGAATCACAAGAATTAGAAAACTGCCTAATTAAAGTTGCATATATAAGAACTGGCACACTGTATTTCCTCTTATGTCTTATGAGTTACAAGCCTGACAACCTGATATTTTGCTGAGTAATTCTGATTCTGAGGATTGCCACATGTCACGCAACACAAAGAGAAGTTTGACCTGTTTTTAATTTTACCCTCACAGTATATTTTTGAATGGCATAAGAGAAGATCTTGAACATTAATGAGTCAAATTCGTGGTATTTTTAAACTCCTACAAGCACATTTTCTTTCTTACTTGTGGATGTTGTTATCAAAGTAGACTTAAAACAATGGTTTAGTCAATTCCATCACAAGGGTTTTTCTTTATCACAAGGCCAACATTGTAAAGTGTGACTGTAAATGTAACCCACTCCTTACATTCCCCAATAAAATCAAAGTAAATTTGACTTGTGAACACACAACCAGCTGGATGGGTTGTCCGTATTCACGAACCAATTGTGTGAATGAAGAGCATACGGCGCGGCCAATAACAGGATGCGGTATTGTTTTCAACCAATCGGGTGCCTGCGGGGCGGGGCTATAGAAGGTGCTTCTTTAATCTTTGAGTGCTACTAGCTCGTGTGTCTGAGGGGGAACACGTAACGCACCTTGAGAGTCCCGACCCGCACGTTACAGATGTGAGTTGTGAAGTAACAGCCACATTGCCCGGAGCAGCAGTTTTTCACAGAGAGAGAGAGAGGGGGGGGAAAGTTGTAAGGAAAACTTCTGTGTGGGTGACGGACTATCATGGAAAGAGTCAGTAAGGATGCCAAGACGAACCCGGCAGCGACGGCGGGTCTTTTGTCAAAGATATTTTTCTGGTAAGTCGGAGAAAAACTTCCCGGATGGTAAACGCTGTCGTTAGCTAGTTGTTAGCGGGGGATTCAAACCTGTGTCAAACACACCGACACAGCATGGTTGTTCCTTTTTTTTTTTTTTAAAACACTTAAATCAACAGTTTACTCCACGAAAATAAAAGTACTGCTTAAAAGATAACCGTTAACTGAAAACTACTTTACACCGCTAGTGTCAGAAGTGCTGCCGTTGACGGTTAGGTGAAAATGTCACCGGGTTTGCACACGGTTTCCTAATCGGTTGGAAAAAAGTTTTCACTGTGTCAGTTAGTAAACATCAACTGACACTGTTCTCCCCGTTATTACGCCGTGCTGGTTTCCTGTTGAATCGCTTGCTTTGGTTGCTCAAGCCTAATGGGAAAGTTGGACGTGTGTGCCATGATCTCTCCTTAAATATCCTGGACATATTAGTTGCCATGGTGACAACAGACAGAAATGTAAGTAGTGATGGCCTCCATCCCTTCAGACCATAAAGAACTGGTTCACCACTCTTTTCACACTTGGATGTTTTAAGAGTTTAATGTGAGCAAATGGCACTATATGTGCTACTTTCTCTCATGAATGCACCTCGTGTTAATAGCTGCAAGTGTGTCTTATACAGCTGCAAATGTGTCATACAGCTGCAAATATGTCTTATACAGCTGCAAGTGTGTCTTATACAGCTGCAAGTGTGTTTTATACAGCTGCAAGTGCTCTAACAACACCATGGAGAATTGATGGTCACCTTTCTTTCCAAATCTTCCTCAGGTGGCTCAATCCTTTGTTCAGAACTGGATACAAACGAAGGCTGGAGGAAGATGACATGTACGAAGTGCTCGTGGAGGACAGGTCGGAGAGACTGGGTCAGGACCTGCAGAGGTGGGAGCCATTTTAAAATCATCTCTCCGCATGTGAATAATCACTGAAGTAACATATCATAGGCAGTGTTTTAATTCAGCAGTTGGACCAGATTCACGTCACATATATCTGTTAGTTGCCATTAATGGAGCCGCCTGGCACATCAATTTCAGATATCCCTACTTCAAGTTATCGCCACTTGACAGAAATCTTTGAATCCTTGTGTTTAATGATATATAAATCATTGTTTTTGATATCTAGAAGTATAATATTATTTGTCAGAATGCAGCTGTAAATCTGAAAGCGGAGTTATTATGACTCAACTCAAATGTATTGTCAGCTGTTGTAGATATCAAAGCGTTGGAGTAGAGCTTGTTTTCTTGTGTGCATCAGGAGATAACAGATGCGTCATTATAAAGCACACCTTCACCAACCACAAATTCCCTGATGATGAGCTCCTTTCAATTCACAGCACAGCCATGCTGTTGTTGGCAGAACAGCCACATCCATTACTTGAAACCAAATTGACCACCACATTTGCACATTGGCAGTTTTGATGAACCAAAACAAAATTATAGACATCTGTATTTATCGTTTTGGTGTCGGTGACGAGCTGAATTACTGTATGATATATATGATTTATTTGTAGATACTATATAATACCCCTTTGGTGACAGGAAGTTCCCCCTAAAACTGTCCTCATCCTTGAAGCCTTTTCTTACAAAAGTGAAATCTGAAATACCTCAGGAGAAAGTAAACCCCATATTTGTGTCAGCTCTGGGAAACTAAAACTGGAATAACCATAAAGGAACTTGTAGAAACCCGTTAGCGTAGCAACATCAAGCCCCATTGCTTGCACACCTCTGCAAACACCAGGTGTATGTCTTTCAAAAATTGACAAATCATGGTCTGTGGCCTCTTGCACACAGCTTCTAGACAATAATTGTCTCAATGTTCTGTGGGAACTCACATCTAATCACTCGTGTTTCCATTTCATTCCAAAAACACAGATAATTAGATAACCAATGTATTTACGAGGACAGTAATACAAGGTGATGTAAAGTCACTGTAAAAGTTATATTTGGACCAACACAGTACTTAAAAGTACATGTATGACTAATGTATAATTAAGTTGTCAGCCATATTGTTCATTATGACATACTTCATACCTTATTACTACTAGATTGATTGTAATTAGGGAAAATGTAAACAGTCAATGTTTTGCTTCCTCAACAAAACAACTAGCATGGTCTTCGGTTGCAATCACGAACCTTGTGACCTCTGAAGTCAAACATATCCAACATTACCAGGAAGCTGCTGTGCCTGGTTGGGATGTCTAGCTCTAACAATGATGGACTAATAGACAACTGTGTCAGATTAATAATTAATTGTGTACATATTACTCAACAACACGTGCAGGATGATAACAGGAACTAACGCCGGAGTCCATGTCTGGTTCCCAAACAACACCCACACCAGTATTAGCCCACTCTACTTCCTGTCATAAACTACGTATAAACTCTGGGAGTACAAAAACATACATGCCCTGGTTGTGCCCTCCGTATTTATGTTAGTCAGCTCATTGGCTGATTATTCACTGTGGAAATGTTGACTTCACGGCATTCAGCTGCTGAATTTTACACACATCTATTGATTATTGGGATGTTTCACAGTCTGTGTTCTAGAAAGGTATTTCAGTGGTAATGTAACAGCTTATTTTCAGCTGTTAAATTGACAGTGAAATATGACTATCAATGGTCAAATGAGGATGACATCCTTTCTTTAAGGTGTCCCAGCTCTGTGTCTTTATTTATCATTTTTTGTTAGTTGATCTTTCTCCACAGTGTTGGAAAGAGCTGAGTTAACAGTCATGGCATTTCTCCACAGATGTGGGTGTTGTATATCCATGGTGCGCCAATGATACCACAGTGAAATACAATTATTGTAGAAGTTCAGAAGTTTTCTGACTGCACAAAGTCTGGTGTTTTGTTTTTGTGGCAGTTTATAGTGTGATTCATTTCATGACTAGATCACAGATAAATCTTGTGTTTCATTTCTGGAGAGAAATGTTAAAGTTGTTAAAGGAGATGTAATATTCTATATTTTGGTTATTGACAAAAATCCAATGAAAAGACCAAAACCAACAATGAATTAATGCTATTAACAAGCCTGATACATCTTATTACTATGTCATAAGCTTCATTGTTCCCACACTATTGCACTGGGTGACATGTTCCTCTATTACCATGAATACACACACACTGTAGTTTATTTTGACTCAATCCCTAAATGCACCGTCCTGTTGCAGGAAATACTCACTAAAGCACCAGTATAGTATTAATCTGCACCTGAAAATAGTCCCCAACAAATGCACTATCTACCTCTGTCAGAGTAATGTTTGCTAGAAAAACGTCCTTATTCTTTGGCCATTATGTTTATGTTGTTTTTGTACGGGATATATTTTTACTTAAATGTACTTTTCATGCAAGCAATTATTTTGTGTCACTTTGCATGAACATGCCATAAAGTTTCCCTGCTCTCCATTTAACGAATGTGTCGTCAAGTGGGACCTTGGATGTCTCTCTCCTGCTGTCATGGAAACCAGACTGTTTTAACCTTTTTATAGATTTTCAGGTATAAAAAAAAAAGCAACCGGATTTTTGTGTTATGAAAGTTGTTAGATTTTACATCAGGACCATATTGGGTGATCATTACTACCTTTGCAGCCATCACAGGAGTTGCCATTAGCAACCAAGACCAGTGGTCGTGGGCATGACATTATGAATGCAGGTTAGAACTAGTCTTTGACCAGACAGATCGCCTGACTCATAACTCCTCAATTTGGTCTGTATTATTGCAAGCACTGCTGTCAAGTGAAAGGGCGGCCTCTGTTTGTTCACGCAATTACCCACTTTCTCCGAGACGAGTCCTGACTCATCTGGATGCGAGGCTCGACGTCTTATTACACACAAAAATGCATCAAGTAACAAGACGTGTTTGCATGACAGGTACTGGGATCATGAGGTCCAGATGGCTATCAAAGAAATACGGCCACCTAGACTCACCAGAGGCATCATCAGGTGCTTCTGGAAACCATACGCAGTGCTCGGATTCTTTACTCTCATTGAGGTCAGTGTCAAGTCTGAATTGTGTTGCAGCGTATTTAATGCAAAACAGATGTAACAAATAATTAAATGTGTTGATTTCATCTCGGCCCAACGACCAACGTGTTCAGCAGGCATGTTGTGATATCTCATTTGTTAATTTCAGAGCAATTCTGCAATTCAGATGTTGTGACGCTCACCCCTCTTCATCTCCTTCCCTGCATATCAGGAGGTGATTAAAGTGATCCAGCCAGTCATCCTGGGGAAGATGATTCAGTACTTTGAGAATTACAACCCAGATGATAAGACCGCTTTATACGAGACCCTCGGCTACGCCGCTGCTTTGTCTATCTGCACCATCGGCCTGGCAGTGCTCCATCACCTCTACTTCTACCACGTCCAGAGAACGGGCATGAAGATTAGAGTGGCCATGTGTCACATGATCTATAAGAAGGTCAGTAGGAAGACACAATGCTTGCGCTTGATAAAGGAGAACATAAAGTTCTGCTTAATTGTCATTGAATGCTGCTCGACTTGCATATCAAGGGTATTTAAGGTCATTCCTGCATTCTTGTGGTTGGTACAGTCTGCCAACTTCTGTCATGTAATCCTCTAAGAGCTGTATTTGGGGAAAAAAAGGCACAAACGCAGGATAAAGTTAGAACAATAGTGATAACATTGAGAGAGTTTGTTTAACCAAAGAAAAAATCAGAAACAACTCCCCTTTGCATTTTATACTTGTACTTTATCCTGTAGGTGATTGTGACTGATGTCGCTTCACTGATGATGATTCTTGTCTTCTTCTAGGCTCTGTGTCTCAGCAGCTCAGCCATGGGAAAGACCACCACCGGCCAGATTGTCAACCTCCTTTCCAACGACGTCAATAGGTTTGACGATGTAAGTGAAATTTAAGGCTTTTAAAAAAGAGAAAGCAATGCGGGCTGCTATTTTTGCCACAAGTTCAAGGCAGTGCAAAATAACTGTGCCCCTCAAATGTTCTTGTGACCCATTCTCCAATATCTACTTCACTTCCAATGATGTTTTTCTAGCACTGTAGACGCATTTACCATTTTAGAAAAAAAATGCTAAAATGAAATACAACTTCAGAAAAATATTGGAAGCAGATAAATGAAAGATAACGGGGAACACAGGACTAAAACTGGGAAAATGTAGTGTTGATTTCATGGGAACTATTCATCAGCATGCAAAGTCATTGATTAATTCCATCTAAAGTTCACTAAACTGAAAAAAATATAGGCTTATACAGCTAAAAATATATTCTCAGAAAGTAGAAAAATAGGCTTGAGTATGTTTATGTTGTGCTTTTTCTAAATGTTATTACATCTCTTTATCATTTCCCACAATTGACACCATCATCATCACGTAAATAATATAATAAAAGCTAAAGATTGTGATATTATTAGTTTAGATTAGTTCTAAACTCGTGCAGTTGAAGTAAAGGTTTTGTAATTTAGAAAAATGAAAGACGACTAGATATTTCACTCTGGACCAAAGTGTCTTGCTATGATTGAGTTTTTTCCAGTTTGAGTTGCAGTGACTGTCTGTGATTTATTGAAGATGTATTACTGTCTAGATGACTGAGAATCCACATGCTGTTACTGGCTTGTGTGATGTATTACATGAGAAAGAGAGAGTCATCTCGTGATGTAAACTCATGGAATGCGTCTGACCTAATTTTACATGTCACCACTTATGTGGAGGTTCAGTTCTTGGCACGGTCACAGTCGTCAGTTACGTTGGTTTGGTAAGTGTGACATATTTTTTATTGTGTGTGTGGTAACGGCGTCTTGTGGTAGAGAAACTCTGGCAGCTCTCTCCTAGCGCAATGTTCAGGCTTGATTACGCTCTGAGCACTCAGAGTGTTGAGTTTCAGTTTAATGAGTGTGTCGGAGCCCGCTGTGAAAACTCCACACTTTCTTCAGGGCATTTTGTTTCTTGGCAGTGGGCTGTTAATCCCACCATGGCTTGCCCTCATGCTGGTTCGGGTTGAGTGACTCTGCCCCTCGTGTAAAAACAGCCCTGTACTGATAGGACATGCGAGTACACGGGCTTCTTCAGAGCTAACTTGGAGGGATCACTGTGACTCAGATGTTTTTGTTGTGTCCTGCATCTACAGGTGACCATCTTCTTGCACTTCCTGTGGGTGGGGCCCCTGCAGGCAGCTGCGGTCGTGGGGCTGCTCTGGATGGAGATTGGTCCGTCGTGCTTGGCCGGCATGGTGGTCCTCATGTTCCTGATGCCTGTGCAGACCCTGTTTGGACGGCTCTTTTCTAAGTTCAGGTAAGACACACAAACTCGAAAAATATCCAGTCCAGATATTCAGGTCAAGCTGACTAACTAACTCTTCACTCAGCCTTGCTTCTCTTAGTAACTGTTGCTTTCTTGCCCACAGTTGTTGATTTTGTGGGCTGCAATGACCACTACTGCTATTTTATCAGCTGTAGCTAGCTAGCGAGTTAGCTAATTAACTAGCTAATGGTTGAAACTGATTGCAATATCCAAATTACAGGAGATGTAACTGTTTTTCAGTTGGACCCGACAATGTGAGGGGACACGGTTGTTTGGTGCAGACCCAACACAAAGTTGCATCATGATCATTTTTATAATTGTAAAACTGAAATGGTGATTCATATTGCGATCGCAGTATCTGCCAATATAATTGCAATATGAATATTTTTGCATATCGTCTCCGGCAAATGGGTTCTAATTTTTCACTTTTTAAAAGCAAAATATTTTTTTAAGGTTAAACTTATTCAGTTAAAAAAAGTCCAAAGGCTCCTGGAACTTTGTTTAATGTTTAATGCCGTTGTTTACGTTTAATGAACCCAGTGCTTCGTGTGCTGGTAGCACTGGACAAGGTTCAAGTGACAGTAAATCAGTTTATAACCACCTCATAGCAGCAATAGCACTGCAGTCTGGACCCGCCCCATTACTCTCACTGTGGTGTAGTTTGAATAGCCTGAGGCACAAATACCTGTTTGTTTTCCAAACCATGTAGAAATAATTTCACATTAGCAATCACATATAAACTCATTATGAATGTTCCTTTAGTGTTAAACTATATTTCTTCAGCATTTGAGGAAACTTTGATTTTTTTACTTTCCAGGAGTAAGACGGCCGCTCTGACTGACAGCAGGATCCGCACAATGAATGAGGTGGTGTCTGGAATGAGGATCATCAAGATGTATGCCTGGGAGAAACCTTTTGCTGCTCTGGTTTCTGAGGTCAGAAGGTAAAGACATGAAACCATTAAGTGCTGCTCGTTGACAGTCTGTATAGTAGATCCTGAATATGTTGAAACCAGGATTATGCATAAAAGGGAATAGGTACTGATGATGCTGAACGTAGCATAAAGTTACACAAAGTTAAACTTGAAGTTATAAAATCATAAAATATTCTAAAGAAACAGATCTTTTGATCAGGGTTCAACAGGATCACTCCTCTGTTGCAGTCTGCACCAAATGGCTCATATAACTACACTGGTGGTTTTTAGCTTTTTTTAGCTTAACACAAGCATGCACGCGCACACACACACACACACACACACACACACGCATCACGTGCATGACTGAGTTCAGATGCAGAAGAAATGAAATTCAAGTTTCCAGCACCTTTGAAACTATTTATCTATTGGCCCTTTAAAAATACGGGGCCGTAGTTGGACCTTATGCTGTGACGAGGCTGTGTATAAAAATCATTTTTTCGCAGATATAAACAGGGCTTTGTGTACAAATGCTGTTTGTGACAATGAGAGCTTTGAGAACTGGTTTGGTTTTGGGCAGAATTGGGGCAAATATTTTCCTGCTCTGTGGCTAGAAGGCCGCTGCTCCATTTCCTCCACATTTAGTATTAAAATCCCCCTCTGCCGAAGGCCTTTCATTCGTCTCCACTGTCATTCCTAACTGATCAGTTTAATTCAAGGATTAAAGAAATCCTTAGTGGACTCATGTGCTTTTAATAAAGACAAGATTCAACCATTCGCTCCTTTTGTTATGAAATTTCCCTGCACATGTCGGTTACCGTCAGTCCGTGTTTTACCCTCCCAGATCATGTGACTGTTGAAACTCTGTGTCCTGTCAGGAAGGAGATCTCCAAGATCATGAAGAGCTCCTACCTACGAGGTCTCAACATGGCCTCCTTCTTTTGCGCCAGCAAGATCATCGTCTTCATCACCTTCACCCTCTACGTCCTTCTGGGAAACACCATCTCAGCCAGTCGTGTGTTTGTGACTGTGTCGCTTTACTCCGCCGTGCGACTCACCGTCACACTCTTCTTCCCTAATGCCATCGAGAAGCTGTTCGAGACCCGTGTCAGCATCCGCAGGATTCAGGTAACGTGCTTTTAATACCTTGAGTTCTGAACTAACAACTATGTGTGTGTTGTTGTTTTTTTTTCTTTTTAAGTTTAAGATTGATACAAATGCATAATTTATTAAAACTTTAATGCATAATTTAATGAACAGCATGATTCTTCAGTTGTATCAATAGTGAAACGAGCTTGCTGCTCTTCATTAAGTCTGAGGAGTAAGAAAATAAAAGTCTTTTCTTGACATGGGCCTGGCACGACTTCAGAGACTTTTAATGTCATGTCATGAAATAATTCCTCCCTCACGCAGCTCCCAGAAAGGCACACGCCTGCACTGTGTGTCTCTCTCTCTCTCTCTCTCTCTCTCTCTCTCTCTCTCTCTCTCCCTCTCTCCCTCCCTCCCTCCCTCCCTCTCTCTAGTCCATGTGAAGTTGATCCTGTGCAGATCACAAACTGCAGAAGCATCGTTACACCTGGATATTTACATTATAACCGTGATTGTTGATCGGCCAAACCTCTGCCTCGCACTTAAGAGTGAATGTTTTACTTTCTTGTGTGTGCCCCGTGTTCCATGTGACACAGAAATTAGGCACGGATGGCGTGTCCTTCCTCGGCCGCCGTTTCCACAAGTTTGAAAATAGGTCGCTGGTCCCTCCCTCTCCGATACATAGCCAAGATGACCATTTTGAGTGAACCATCTGGGTCCTTTTTTTTTTGCTTTTTAGTTATTTTTTTGGGGGGGGGGGGGGGGGGACACATACGGCAAAGGGCCGCGGGTCAGACTGGAACCCGTGGTCGCTGCGGTTGGGACTAAGCCTTTGTGGCACACACTCTACAAAGACGCCCTCCGGGTACTTACAGTGGACTGCGTGTTGCTGTACTTTTTACAGGCTGTTAATGACTTATTGTGTAACCCCAGTCCCATCTCACTCACATGACATCAACACGAACGTCTGGTGGTGAAGCCACAACCTCTGATTTATTGCTCTCATAAAGATCTGATCATGTCAGTCTAATTTTAAACTGGCACTTATGAGACATTACATAGTGATTTACCTGATCACTGTAGCAAAAGGCTCATCTAAAATAAATAAATAAATAAACCATCTCTTATGTGTGCGTGTTACATAACACTTATGGACTTGAATGACTCTTTAAACTTGATTCTTTGCTTTCGTCGTCTAGGAGTTCTTGATGCTTGATGAGATCACAAAAAGCGGCGCTGCTCTGCCACAGGATGAGAAGAACGATGTCTCCGTGGAGATCCAGGAACTGTTCTGCTACTGGGACAAGGTCAGACACCCTGTCCTCACTGGTAGACGAACAAAGAATATCCCAAACCTGTTCGTCCAAGAATGTTCTTTAACCCTTTGACAACTGTTTTGCTTGTGGTGAAAACATACTATAAATCCCACATTTGTGTTTATCAGTCACACACTCGCACACTCTCCTGTTAGCATATTTAACAGCTTCCTGATGATGATTTCGTCCCCCGTTGTGCAGTAAACACATCTTACATTTGACTCATCAGGAATTTATTCATATGTGTAATATTTTATGACTGAGACACGCTGTAAACAAACTTGATGACGCTCGCTAGCCTGGCAACAAGAAGGTTACCAACATCCCCTAATGCAACACACTGTCTCTCCATTCAAATCTGATGTTAGAATAATTCACAAGTGCGTAATCCTTGAATATAAGTCCCACATTGTCAAACATAGTTTTCAGGAAGAAAGTATTGTCTTATATTTGTGCGTTTGTACCTAAATTAGTGTGCACCTGAACATGGGCGCAGGTGCATGGTTCCTGGATTATATTATAATGTTTAAAAATGTTTTGTTCCCCTCACAGAGTCTGGATGCTCCGTCTCTGCAGAACATCTCCTTCAGTCTGAACTCCAATCAGCTGCTGGCTGTCATTGGACCAGTGGGAGCTGGAAAGGTCGGTCGTTTACACGTTTCATCATTTCAGTCAGAAGGCAGCAGGTGGTTTGTGTACATTTCTCCTGAGTGATGAATCAGCTGGTGTCTTACCTCTCTCTGTGCCCATGTTCATTCAGTCCTCCCTGCTGAGCTCCATCCTGGGAGAGCTGCCAAATGAAAAGGGAATGCTGAAGGTCAAAGGTCAGCTGACGTACGCCGCCCAGCAGCCCTGGGTGTTCCCTGGAACCATCCGCAGTAACATCCTGTTTGGGAAAGAGCTGAACCCCCAAAAGTACGAGAGAGTCATCAGAGCCTGCGCTTTAAAGAGGGTGAGTCTTTTAATCATTGCATTAGATTATTCAAATTAATATCAGGATCACATTATAGATAGATAGATAATAGATAAAGAACTAACTCATTACATGAAATGAGTTTATAGTTCAAGATACTCTGAATGACAGAGGGCTGAACAAATGATAAAACCACAAAAATAAAAACCAAACTGTACATTTAGAGAACAGAGGCAGAGCGCTGTGTTGAAGTAGTAACAGACTGAAACAGGATATTTAATGAGATCAGATAAAGTTATTGATTTCTATTCACTGCAGTCATACAACGTAATAAGCCAGCAGCTTAAAGGCAATAAGCACAAATGAAATAATGCAGTCACCAGTTACTGAAAGCAGTGATTTATAGATTCAGAATGTATTTTATAGGCTGTGGCACCTGTTTGACATTTTAACATGTGAAGCTGCTAAAATTAGAATGAAGTTGGTTTGCGACTAAGCTTTTCTACCCTGTGCTACGAACGTCACTCTTCTTTTGTAAACAACAGTGGGAGCCTGTAGCCATGGTGACTGAGTCTGAGCAGTCTGAGCAAAATAATGCCTAATAATAATAACAATAATAATAATGAGGTTTAACTCCAATGTTAGCGGGCTAACCATGAGACAGGCTCCTGTCTTACTGATAAACTACTGTGATGGTTTGTTGCTATAGAGAGGAGAAGTCAGGTCATGATGGCTGCCCAGTCTGTTAACATAATGTGGATGTACCATTACAGAATGATTTATATTGAGTTTGTGGGCAGATGGGGCCGATGGTGAGAGCGTGCTGACTAATAACACAGGAATGGTTTTCGACGCTGAATAAATGGGGCGGCTTCCTGTGTAGGAGCGGTCAGCAGTGTTTGATAGAGAGCAGTTGGCAGCAGCAGGATACTGTCTGAGACGTGCAGGTGACACCCAGGTTTGGGAACCGGAGTAATAGCAAGCTGTTTTTGATCATATAATGATAACATGATGTTGATATGATCTGATAATTTGATGGGTTTGGAAGGTGAACTCAGCAGAATGTTGATAGTGGCAGTGCTGTCCTGCACAAACAATACTTTCTGACATTTTAGAGCAGTTTCAGTAATTTCACATGTGAGATTTCTGTATTTCAGTTTTGGACTGTGCCTTTCTCACTGATCTGAAGGAGCATTTTTCAGTTGGAAAGAGAGTGGTGTCAGGTGATTCCGTCTAAAATATTTCACTTGTCGCACCGGTATGTCTGCAAACATCTGCCCCTACTCTGCCTCTGATTGGCTCTGTCCTTGATATTCTTAAAAAAATGTGTTTGTGTGAAATCTGAACTGAACAGAAACAGGTCAGGTAACTGCTCCACCACCTGTCTCCCCTGTAAGATCAGTGGTGGAACACAAATTCAGATCCTTTACTTCAGTGAAAGTGAAAGATTTCATCAGATTCAGTAGATTTGAACGTTTATGGAAATGAAACCATGTAAAAGTTTACACACGGAGCCAAAAAGGCTGCAAACCACTGGTTTAAAAGCTGTGAAAGGACAGTATTTCCCTTTTGAAATGTAGTGTAGTTGAATGTAAAGCAGAGTACTTAGTTCCTGGGTAAAAGGCCTTCAGCGGAGATGGCCTCAGCTGACCCTGAGTCTACAACATAGACAAAGGCCACAATACCTGCTTTTCACAAAGAATGGCTCGTTCAGTTTCCGTGGCTCAGATCTGATAAAACGGCCAAGAACAGATAACGTGCACCAGTGCATCCAATGTTAAAAGTTATTGTGGATCCCTGCCAAGCTCCTGTATATCAAATCTGAGCAAACGCCCACACAGTCCTGGTGAAGAGGATTAGCTGAGTTGGCTGATTAAACTCCTCAAACATTCCCTCCTCAGACTCTGACAGAAAGACCCTCAGGCAGCACCATTGTCTCTTTACCTGTAGCTGTGTTTAAATGGCAGTGTGACACACTTCACAGACTAATGTGGACTTCTTCAAGTTGCTTTGTAATTTCAAATTTTGGGAAAATCTCCCAACACAAGACTGTTATCCTCAACCGTGCGTCAGTTTAATCTCAGTTTTGTTATTGTGCTAAGGGCTCGTTTATTTAACTTTTCACACCTTGGTTGTTGTAACCATATAACTGCATGTCTTGAAACACAAGATGCCTGCTTTACATTATACAAGAGAATTTACTTGTGGTGTTTGGCAGTTAGACAGGATACCGACAGTCGTGCCCAGTAAATGAGTTACTCGTGAGTCCCGTGACACCACTACAGAATAAATAGGTAACACCTCCTGACGTACACGCTCCCTCTCATTTGATAGGTGACCTAATTATATACCATAAACCAGGGTCATGTTTTATATGCAGTTATATAAAGTTCCTGTCAATCTGCTGACTCACTCCTGCTGTGAGGGTTGAAGTGTTTGAAGTTATTAGATTTTCTTAATGTGCTGCAGCATGGGTGCTGTTGCATACAGACTTGAAGCAGGGAAAGTAGAGGTGCAGCGTTTCCCATACATAGATAAAGAACCTGCCCAGGTAGATAAAATCACCCGGGTTCAGCTCAGGTAAATTAGCTCACTCTGTTCAGATCACCTGGCTGTTTGAGTTGAGCGGAATAGAGGCTGCAGCCTGCATGTGAGGCGTTTAGGGAACATCTGAAAATTCACATACAGAAAATAACCTGGGTTACACCGCCTCCCTTTAGACTGCCAACCACCACAAGTAAAATACTCTGTCATGATGACTGGAAATAAGGCTGAACTTCCAATTATTAACGTATCAATAAATTCATTGTTGTGTCTATAAAATATCAGAAAAAATCACGTCAATTTCTCAAGGCCAAACATACGTACGTAAAACGTCTTGTTTTTATTTCACCAAAAGTTCAACACATGATTAATAGAACTTTCTTATTACTATATTTTTTTTCCTGTTGGGATCAAGTTTAAACAGATAACAGGATTGTGTTTACATTTTACACATGCTTTGAATGTGTAACTATAGTCCCAGTGCGATCACGCCTCTGTTGTGGTGTTTGTTATGTTGTGCTGTCAGGACCTGGAGCTGCTCCCAGACGGAGACCTGACGCTGATCGGGGACAGAGGGGCCACACTCAGCGGTGGACAGAAAGCTCGTGTCAACCTGGCCAGGTATGAGGACCGTCTACATCAGAACTGTTTTAAAGAAGTTAGTAATTAAAGGCCCAATATGTTACACATTTCCTGTGTTTTATTTTGAAGTGTTGATCCATGAGAAGATTTATTTGTGGTTTTAAGAACCAAAAACCATCTCAGTGTAGTTTTACATGACCTCTGTGTATGATAATGTGCTATACAAATATATTTGCCTAGCCTAGCCTTGCCTCTAGTAACAACAGGTCAGTGAGCCAATCAGAGGAGAGGAGGCTCTGTGTCTCTCTTGTAATTGGCCAACTGTTTTCTGAGTTATCCAATAAAAATAAAGCAGATTTCAGGGAAAACACTCAGAGAAACCAAATCCAAGTAAAAAAATCAGGGACTGAAACTTTCCAGGTGGTGTAGCAGCCACACGCTGTCGGCGGATGCTAACAGAGCGTGTGTTTGTTTTCAGAGCTGTGTATCAGGACGCAGACATCTACCTCCTGGATGATCCTTTAAGTGCAGTGGACGCCGAGGTCGGGAGACACCTCTTTGAACAGTGAGCGACTTCAGGATCAAACTGTCCACACCTCCGCACATCTGTCCGCACGTTTTCATACAGAGACGCTCGAGCAGCAGGTTCAGGTCTCGCACACTCTTACCAAACAGGAAAACACTGGAGTGTTGTGGTCAACACGGACTGGAAAAGTGCTTCAACACCGGAGCGGGAAAACCTCAGGGTTAGATCACAGCAGGAGCAGGTTCCCGTAAAGAGAGAGGAAGAGAGAAAACTTATCTGCTGTTATTGGTCATGATGTTTTCATGTAGTGTACCGAGAGATGGATATCAGCAGTGGCCCTGTTGGTTAATAGTGTTGATGTTTGGACGAGGTTGCTTTGTGAGAACAGACAAAGATGAAGGAAAGTGTTAGAACTAAGCCAGGAAGAGGTGCGGTGCTGCTAGTGTCAGACAGACAATTGAAGTCGGCCCCACATTTCCTGTTACTCTCCCTCTTGGATAAAACAGTCGCACAGAACATTACATAACAGCAGTAACAAGGAAGTAGAAGGCACACAGACACACAGTAAATGGATGTGAGCGCATGTTTCTTTTTAATTCATTTTTTTTGTTTTTAGAAGAAATGTAGTGCTGAAAACTGACACGATGTTCCCTGTACGTCAGGTGTATCTGTGGCCTGCTGAAGAACAAGCCCCGTATCCTGGTCACACACCAGCTGCAGTACCTGAAAGCAGCCAACCAGATTCTGGTCCTCAAGGAGGTCGGTGCCTGTACACAGTCACATGATCCGTACAAACACACGTCACTTCACTCATGTCACTGTGGACAACACGCATTTGTTTTACATTTAACCTGTTGGGCTTTATGCAAGAAACAGTTGTGTATAAACAGTTTGACTTTAGGGCTCAATGATGCAAAAACAAAAAAAATCATATGATGATTATTTTGGCAGATATTATGACATGAGTTACAATTTCAATTTTGCATGTTGCACAATGAGAATACAAAAATGTTCTCACATGAGGTCCAGTGTATTCTGAGAGCAGCTGCACGTCTTCAGCTAATGTGTGTAATGAAGGATAATTGCTGTACTTAAAAAAACAAGAGGATATTTCCAAAGCTCCAGAATATCAATCCTAATGTGAGACCTTCTGATCTCTGGGCCATTTATATGTTAGAAATATAAAATCTCTCCTCTAGCCCCACCTTCAGGTCAGACTGCCACCCTGCACATTGAAGGGACACACAACAGCTTTTATTTATGTATTTCCAAAGGAAAAATCACCTTAAACTTTATTGATCTTTTCCTCAGACAAACTTGAGAATTGCAGCTTGATGTTTGAAGAGGTCAGCACCAGTATGTCTGTATAATGACTTGTATTAACCATAAACTTGTCTGAGGTTTGTGTAAGCACAATGAGGTGGTGTTTAGGTGCTGGCAGCAGTATGTAAACATGAGCGCAGATGGGCAGTGTGTTCTCACTTTGTGTGTGTGTGTGTGTGTGTGTCCACGTGTTAGGGTCACATGGTGGCGAAGGGGACGTATGCAGAGCTGCAACAGTCAGGATTGGACTTCACCTCCCTGCTGAAGAAAGAGGAGGAAGAGGAGCAGCAGCAGCAGCCGCCTCCTCCTCCAGGCGCCCTCACCAGGAGCAGGACTCTGTCCCAGAACTCGGTTCTCTCTCAGACCTCCTCCGTGCACTCGGTCAAAGATGGAGACCAGTTACCGGTCGGTACTTCATCTCTCCTCTCTAAACTTTTAGACTCAGACACACCCCCTCCAGCTGTTATGCAGCCTGATCACCGTGCCTATTGGAAACACTGGACTTACTGTTATTTGCAAAAACTGTGATATAAATATCAATACCTTCACGTACTTCATGAGTCATTGTAGGTTTTATATTCATTCTCTGGATGACTGTGAAACAGGATTAAATGAATTTGTTGAGGAGGAACTCTGGAGACGCTGTGAGCAGCTGAAACAATAAGCGGCTGCTATTCTTTGATTTCCCTGTTATTCATTTACTGGAAATAAGATCAGTTTGCTCTGTTTTCTCTCCACCCTGCTGCTAAAGTTTTTCTTGAAACTTGTGTGTTTTCATTGGACAAAATCTTCCTAAATGCAGCCAGTTGCTCTTTCTACAGTGAGTTTCCACAGCATGCACAGATCGTGATGTGTGTCCATGAGTTAACGCAGAGTTCTCCCGGCAGGCGGAGCCGGTGCAGACGATGGTGGAGGAGAGTCGAGCTCAGGGAACCATCGGAGTGAGTCTGTACGTCAAATATCTGAGAGCTGGAGCCAATGTCGTGGTTCTGCTCATCGTCCTGCTGGTCAACGTCCTGGCTCAGGTACGCCACAAGAACACAAGGGAAAGTGGGAAAATGTGGGAAATAAAAGAGAAATATGAATGATGAAATGTATTTTACCATTTAACTGAGATTTAATCAAACACACCTCCATGTTTTTTATCCTGTAGGTAGCATACATCATGCAGGACTGGTGGCTAGCTTACTGGTCAGTATAAACACCATTACAGGAGGAAATAATACGTCATTAATAAGTCATTTCATAATTCAACCTTTGTTTCTACCTTTGTTCCATTTCCACCGATCAGGGCTGATGAGCAGGAGAAGCTAAATGCTAACAGCACTATCACCCAGGAGGGAGTAAACGTCACCAGAGAGCTGAACACAGATTTCTACCTGGGTGTTTACGGAGGTGATGTGAACACATGTTGTTGTTGTTGTTGTTGTTGTTTACTGTGCTGCACACGTCTCCTGCTTTGTGTGTAACTTTCCGCTGCTGTTTCTCCAGGTTTGACCGCAGCCACCATCATCTTCGGCTTCATCAGGAACCTGGTCCTGTTCAACGTGCTGGTCAGGTGTGCACAGTCTCTGCACAACCGCATGTTCACCGCCATACTGAGGACACCCGTGCGCTTCTTTGACATCAACCCCATCGGTGAGCGAACGTTTAGCGAGACAGCACAAACTGTACAACATGTGAAAGATCTGTTAGGTGATGATGTCTGTCTCTGTCTCTCCTCAGGA